ATTTTCATTATTATTTTAACATACCGCTTTATTACACAAATTAAGTGAATTTTGAACATACTGTTTGGTTTTTAACTTCATTTTAACACTGATTTACAAGCCTTCAGCATTATTTTAATGTGTGCACCAAATTATCAAGAAAATCATTTTGACACAGCATTCTACAATATGTTCGGTGTACAATTTCATTTGGAATTCGGTTGATAAATTCCGTCCTTTGTGGAAAATATATTTAGCCCACAACATCAATTCACATCTGAAAACAAATACAACGAAATTAAGAATATTATATCCTTATAGTACAAGAGATAGAGCTACATTTTCCTAAGAATTTTATAACAAACTAATTTAATTTATAGTTCGTAATCGATAAACATCCTTAATCACCTTCACCTACAGCATCACTTTTATCAGAAATAACATAAAATTCTTTCATACAGATTAGCATGACATACCTAATACTGAAGCTCTTTGACTCAAATCATATTTTTTATAACTAAATACAAGTATTTATGTAAATTCTAACTCTACAGCTAATAAAATACCTAACACTATCATTACATAATGGGAATATTCTCTTGTTAAAATGTAGCGGAACTTCACGTACTATTCATTAGTTTGGAAATCTATAAATAGAAGATTAAAGCAAGTACCGTATAAGATTCCTTTTAGCCGGCTTCGGAAAACGAAAAAGCTTTACATTATGCTAGGTTGGCGAACGTCCACATTTAAAACATTTTCTTCTGTTTTCTTTATCAGCCATATTTTCAACAACCACAACAACAGAAAAGAGTCACTATCTCAAATTTCACAAATAACTATGAATCCACTTTATAAGCACATTAAAAGGAGGAACAAAAGCTCATCTCGACATTATAATGATAAGAAAATGCAGGAAATAAGTAATTGTGATGGAATTGGATGGAATCGCATGGAACAAGCGGGAACAACAACAAAACAAATTGCCATTATCGACACTAAATCAGTTACAAAAATAACTACTACTAATTTTAACAATGATGCCTTCCAATTAATAAAATTAACACGATTGCAACTCAAAAAAAATAAAAGTCAACTGTATTATTTACTTGACTTAATAAGATGTATTTCTGGATATTAAAAACTTGGATAAATATATTTTTTTGGTAAAAGACAACTATCAGAGACTACTAAAATGTGTGAAAGTAATAATATGAGGCAACACTGCAGATTCATTTCATTGCCATACTATTAAATCTTAGTTGCTAGTTAAAAATATGGTATTATGAAAGATTATTTGGGTCTTTCATCATAAAATTTTGCCCCTCTAGGTATAATTTTACACTTGTATGAAGTTACCACCCCCTGGGTTAGTGTACTGCTTGATTTAATGCGTTCGTCACGCACCCTTTTTGTTATGTACTTGGCGCGTAAATAAATTAATGCATTCATTAACACGCTAATTTTTCTTAACATTTAGTCTTTAGTATGTTAATGTATTTTAGTCGTTTTGAACCCATAACATACTGATTAGGTCGATGTGATATTATACCGTTAGGAAAATTTGCTTTCCGTTGATAGAATTCGGCAGGCGGTACGCAATTTTCACCTTTGACCCATAATATACAGATTCTTAAATATAAAAATAATTACAATTATTCGCCAGCTGCGTTTTCGAGTTACACAGAATACAAAATTTGAACCCCAGCATCCTTCAGCTTTTAGCCCGACGGTACTAAAAATCCAAATCCACATTCACTTCAAAAAGCGGCATCCGCTCAATCTTGTATTGGTGATAACGTTTGTTGAGGGAAACCTTCTTGGTTTAAGATCTTTTTAATTAATTTAAATATTCACACTGACAATCTGTTCTGCACATGCGCGTCTATTGTTATTATATATTGAAAGTAACTCTAATAAATCTGAAATTAATTTTAATTCAGATATTAGAAACATGTATGCAGTTTTAAACTAACTTTCCATAAAAATTGTAAATTATTTTAAAACATGTTCCATTAGATTGATTACATTTGAAATCGATCGCATGTATGCCGATCCTGTGTGAAAGTTCGGTATTCCTTTTTACTGCTTAAAACGACAAAAAGGTTTTTTTATTTCATATAATAATGTATCTATACCATTGTGAATGAGGAAGTAATTAAAAAAGACAGCACTAAAAAGTACTTACGACTCTAGCAAAAAATGGACCATTTTCGTTCCTTTTACCTTACATATTAAAAAACTGAAATTTGCAGTTTGAAACTTAGATATCCATACAAGTATTTTTTCATACAAATAGAATAAGAGTTGTTTGAGTTTTGAAAATTAATTTACTTTCATACATGAAAGAAAACCATCGTCAAGGAAGAATCAAGGACCGTAGCGACATCTAGTTTGATTTCGGGAACTACCGTAGAACGTGGCAAGTTTACCCAACGGGTGTAAAATTGCCCACTAGGTAACTTTTCATAAAACCTAAAGTAGATGTCGTTGATGTTTTTATAATCCAGGTTTTTAATCAGTGGTGGAAAATTCGATATATTTCTGGCAACACAGTAAGTCAAATTGTCTTCTGCTTTACTTTAGTAATCTGTCAGTCATTATTAAAGTTGGTTGTGTTTTTCGCGGGCAAAACTTACGCCGTAAACTTTAATAAAATATTAAACTTGCAGTTGCAACAGGTATGTAATTTTTTCAAATATTGTGTATGTATTCTGAATAAGTCGAATCAGTGAATATTAATAGCAAAATGTCTCCTCAAATCGTAATTATGGTAGTGGGCAATGTTACCATAGTGTAAATGGTACGTCTCTTGACAACTTTGCCCATTAATATTTTAGCATCAGGGCTGTCACACGTAAGTGGTAAACCAGAAACCGTTAAAAATATAGTCTTTTTTTATTATCTTACTACCTTTTGAGAAATGATTCTACTTTTAATGATTCTACTATTTTACTACTTACCAAAAACTACTTGCACAAAGGAATTGACCCATACATTCTTAGCTGTAAAAATATTGTGTTTTTACTTTGCTAGAGAAAGTTGTTTTATTCAATAGTAAAATTAACCACAAAAAAAATAACTAAAAGAGGTACTTATCTCAAATCTTCAGTCTTAACTAAGGCTGGTATGATGAAAAAGTCTTATTATTTAAAGTTAAATTTCGGGTATTGAATGATAATGTTTACAGTCATAAGTTTCATAAAGTATCTACACATGGCAATATTTTGGATTACCACAAAATAAGAAATTTCTTCAATAAATTTTGAACTCATATGCAACAAATTAAGGGTTGGAAGTTGGATAGTTGGAGAATCTGTCTGATGTGCTATTGTATATTGATGTGATATTGATAAGGCATGTTTTTGTTTTTAGAATGAACACGAAAAGCACCACAAAAAAGAAAAGACTTCGAAGAAAACTAGGGTCTCGAAGTTATCGAGATTATTCGACGGAAATATTGGAGGTAGCTGTTGATATGTTAGAAAAGAATCTTATCTCTAGTAGGCAGGCTGAAAAACAATTCGGCATTCCACGTCGGACTATATTAAATAAAGTGAAAAAACTGCATATGAAGTCCTCTGGTAGACAGACGAAATTAACGAATGAGGAAGAGGAAAAACTTGTTAAAGTTCTGATTGCTGCCGCGGACTATGGTAACCCAATGACTAAATTTGACTTGAAAATGCTCGTATTTAAATACTTAGAAAAAAATTGTCGTACTGATATCTTTAACAATAAAATGCCTGGTGATGCTTGGGTAGAAAACTTTTTAAAAAGACACTCCTCAAAATTAACATTTAGGACAACACAAAACATTAAGAAAGTTCGTGCCCAAAAAGGTTTGAAAGAAATCGAAAATTTCTTTAACAATTTGAAAGAGACCCTTAAAGATGTCCCTCCGACAAATATCCTAAATTATGATGAGACGAATTTATCGGATAATCCGGGAACAACTAAATGTATTTTTAGGCGAGGTGTTAAATACCCAGAACGGATACTTAATTGCAGTAAAAGTTGCATATCCATTATGTTTACCGCATGCGCAGATGGGACCTGTCTTCCAAATTATGTGGTATATAAATCTAGAAACTTATACTCAGAATGGGTTGAAGGGGGTCCAGATGGAACACGTTTTCATTGCACAAAATCTGGTTGGTTCGATTCTGATACCTTTGAAGACTATTTTCAAACAATAATAGTTCAATGGGCAAAAAAATTATGTGGGCCAAAAGTAGTAATCGGCGACAATTTGTCAAGTCATATTAATATCGAAATCGTAGAATTATGCCTAAAATATGAAATCCGAATGGTATTTCTGCCACCTAACTCTACTCACCTGACCCAACCATTAGACGTTGCGTACTTCGCTCCACTCAAAAGAGAATGGAAGAAAATTTTATTGGAATATAAAATCAGAAATCCAGGACAAACAACATTAAACAAAAAACATTTCCCTAAATTATTAGCTCAGCTAATAGAAAATATTAAGCTAAAAGAGGAAAATAACATAAAAAGCGGCTTCAGAGCCGCTGGTATCTGGCCTATCAATCCAAGAAATGTTATAAAGCGAATTCCAGAATATTATGATGAAGTGCAATATGGAATAGATACAGTCTTATTGAATTATTTGAAAGAAACAAGGTCCCCGAATCCAATGACAGTAAAGAGGAGCAAAAAATTAAAAACAGAACCAGGAAAGTCAGTCTCTGTGGACGATATTTTTGCAAAAGTTAATAGTACAAAGGCAACAAATGTAACAAACAAAAATAAAATAGATAAACATGAATATGAAGAAGAAGAAATATTTATGTTGGACAGACAAAGAAATAAATATAGAATCAGATGAAGAAAATAAGATATACATATTAAATGAAAAAACTGGGGAAATGATAAAAAAGACAAATTCTGAAAAAACATGTAATGATGGTTATATGAAACTTACTCAATATGATTTTCCGTCGACATCAACTGGGAATATTAGTAGCAGCTACCCAGTAGTGTCGCCATTGTCATCGTCAATGTTTTATAATCCAAATAGTCTGAAAAAAGCTTGTATTGATATAATCAATATTCACATGGATTTATCAGCGTCATATACTATTACAGAATCGTCAGATGTATGTACCTTGAATAAAAATTTAAAAAGTTGCAATGAAAATTTGTTGTTTATAGCAAGTAACGAAAAGGATTTACCTATATGTTTGCAACCAAAGAAAGCACCTTCGAAGTCTGACATTAATTCAAATAAGTTAAAACTACCAGCTAGCAACTCACCTAAATTAGTAATAATTTCTGATGTGAAAGTGAATCCAACTAAAAAGGTGACCTCTATTAGGAAGAAACTTAATATTAAGAAAACTTTGCATGGCGCAGAAGCATTAACCATGAAATTAAACCCGAAGACAAAATATCGTAAACATCAATTATTTGAAAGAAAAAATACTAGTAAAAAAAAGAGAAAAATTAATAGATACGAATCAAGCTCTGAAAATGAAAATTCTGATATTATGAGTATAACTAACACAGATAGTTCGGGAAACGAATTGTTTGAAGACTATATAACAAAATACTTACAAGAAGAAGATATGAAAGAAAATTTAGAACAAGATATTCCGTTTGGGTTCAGTGACATTTCATATTTCACAGGCAAATCTGAAAACTTAAAAAAAGACGACTGGATATTGGCAAAATTTGCCACAAAAAAGAGTTTAAAACACTACGTGGGGCAAGTATTGAGCGTCAAAAATGATACTCCTACAATACAATTTTTAAGAAAAGTAAAATCTTCCAAAGATAGGAGATTGGCTTTTACGTATCCAAACGTAGTGGATATTTGTGAAATGATGCACTTAGAAGATATAATTCTAGTATTACCTCAACCAAATATTTCCCGACGAGGTCAAATAATATTCGAAGTCAATTTAAGTGAATATAATATACAATAAACAACATATTTTGGTCTTAGCTCAGTTAAAACTATATATTTTGTGATTTCGTGATTTTTATTACTACAACAGTGCGTTTCGGTGGCTATATTAATAGTAGTGCATTTTTTATAGTTCCTATCGTGTTAACAACTACCTGATCTCCAAAGATATTTATTATAATGTTGATCTTTAAATAAATAAATTAAATGATAATTATGTTTTTTTGTTTTTAAGTAAGACTCCTTATATTATTAACCTAAGAAAAATAATATTTTATCATAAGCTGTTATAATTTTTACTTTTAAAACTTGGTAAATGACAACCCTAGGTCATAGTTTCGTTTAAATGGAAAATGTTCTACATGGCTTAAGTAACTTTGCCCATGCAATTTTTGTGGCCATTAAGTACGTCTACTTATTTCTTATATCATACAGTATGACATTACCGTGTTCTTTTTCATAGTGCTTAAACTAAAAAATATTGAAGATCAAAATGCAAAAATTACAAACTTACAATGTCAAGTGGGCAAACTTGTGATTTTTTAAAATATTTGGCCCACGATCTAATTTGTCTTTTATGAGAATAAAAACTGTTTTAATTATAGTTATTTTTCATTTTACTTAAAGGCAACTATAATAAGGACCGTTTAGTTCAAATACATTCTTTAATTAATTAAAATTACGTAGCTAAATTCGACTAACGTAAAATAAACGGGCAAAGTTGCCATGTTTTACGGTAACGGTTTTTCAATACTTTCTCATTAATTGCATTATTTATTATGTACATTAATAAATAAAAAAATGGTTTTTGTTTACACATAACATGTTCTTTGTAACGTTAAGACATTGCACATAAAATTACAAAGATTAGGTAATTTTCAAAACATTGCTATATAATTCAATTGCTGAATTCTACTTAATATTATTGGGATTAGTTTTTGCGAAGGACGGAATAAATAATACACGCCATGTTCATCAGATACGTTTTTCTTTATATTATTTAAATGTGACATTTAACCATAGAGTAAGTAATACTACATAACCATAGACTAATATTCCAACACCCCCCCTCAATTTCATGAAGCTGAAGTTTGTTTTCTCAGTTAAAGTTGCAAAACTAATATATTTATAACAATAAAAACTAAAAGAAACTTTACATTCTCTTTGACAATAACTAACAAATTAAAATAATGAAATTGTTTTTAAATCTCAATAACATAAATAACTTATTTTTACAAAATATTCATCCTCGAAGTTAAATAACAATGTTGATTTATCGGTAATGACTTAGTAAATATATCAGCAATATTTTTATTACTTTGCACATACGATATTGATATAATCTTTTGTGATACAATGTCTTTAATGTAATGCGCTTTAATATCTATGTGTTTAGACCGTTTGCTATTTTCATAACTTTCAATTAATTTAAGAGTGCTTTGATTATCTATCCAAAGTAAACATTTTATGTTTATTGAATTGAGCTCTGACATAACACCTTTGAGATTTACTGTTTCATTTATGGCTTGAGCTGCTGCTAAATACTCTGCTTCGGCTGTTGAGAGTGCCACAGATGTTTGTTTTTTACAATACCAACTTATTAATTTGTTACAATATAAAATTGCACAGCCACTTGTACTCTTTCTATCAGTCTTGTCAGATGCCCAATCTGCATCTGTAAATATATTCATTTCTTTTTGGTTTCCTTTTCTATTGTAAATTAATCCTTTGTATCTGGTTCCCTTCAAATATCGTAATATCCTTTTCCCTGCTTTCCATTTACTTTCAGTGGGTTGATCTAGAAATCTACTTAAATATGAAACAGCAAAAGTAATGTCTGGTCTAGTATTAGTAGAAATAAATAATAAAGATCCAATCAACTCTTTGTAAGGGACGTCTATTATTTCTTCATTTTGATCAATATTAAATCCAACTTCTAAAGGTGTAGATATTTCTCTACAATCTTTCATTTTAAATTTTTCCAATACTTTATCTATTTGTTTACTCTGATGAATTTTAATACCATTCTCAATTTTTTCTATTTGCATTCCCAAAAATGTATTTATTTCGCCTAGTTCTTTTACATTGAATTCCTTTTGTAGTATTCCTTTTATACGATCTATTTCTTTTGGTTTTCCCATTAATAATATGTCATCTACATACACTAACAGTTTTATGTCTTCATTAACGTATAAGCAAAAATCATAACTTGACCGTTTCAATCCAGCTTGTAACATTATTTTATTAAATTGTATATTCCAGCATTTAGGACTCTCCTTCAGTCCATATAGACTTCTTATTAATTTTAATATTTTATTTCCTTTAACCTTAATTCCTTGTGGAACTTTGATATAAACATCTGATTCCAATATTCCATTTAAAAATGCCGTTGGCACATCAAATTGGTATACAGGTAAGTTTTCTTCTACTGAATGGGCTAAGAATGCTCTCACTGTGGACATTCTAGCTACAGGTGAATAGTTATTACAAAAATATTTATCTGGCATTTGAAAACCTTTCACCACTAATCTTGCTTTCTTGAGGCCATTATCTTTTATTGTAAAAATCCATTTGGTATCTATGCTCTTTATTCCTTCTTTGTTTTCTACTTCTTTCCATGTTCCTAATTTTTCCAATGATTCTATTTCTTTCTTAATAGCTTTCCTCCATTCTTCATTTTTACTTGCTTGTTCATATGTTTCTGGTATTTCTTCTTCACTTGTCATCAAACAAAATGCAGTATATAACTCATAGTCATTTAAATATTGAGGTTTCTCTATAATCCTCCCTGTACGACTTACTTCTTTTTTCAATCTATTATTATTCCTTTCATCTTCTCTTTCTTCCTCTTTTTCTTCTAAATTTTCACTTCTTTCATTATTTGTTTCTTTAACTTCTTCTTTTTCTTCTGCTTCATAAACTATTTTGTTATCTTTTATATCATCTTGATCATTATTTTTATTGAAAATAGTATTCTTTTCATCAAAAAATACATCTGTGGAATATACTAATCTGTCATTTTCAGGATCCCATAATCTATAACCAGATTTAGTGTACCCAACCATTCTCATAGCTTTTGCTCTCGCATCTAATTTTTTTGGTTTTGGTATAGTCACTGCCCATGCTTTAGATCCAAATACTCTAATTTTATCTATTTTATTTTTCCCATACCATATCATAGCCGGAGTCATATTATGCAATACTCTACTTGGACATCTATTCAATTCATAAGCTGAACAACAAACAGCTTCTCCCCATAAATGTCTTGGTAATTTTGTTTCTGCAAACTTAGTTCTTGTTTTATCTAAAAGTGTTCTATTCATCCTCTCACTTGTTCCATTTTGCATAGGTGTATAAGGTGACGTATACTGTAGTTCTATTCCCTTTTGCCGACAGTAATTTTTAAAATATCTTGATGTGAATTCACCTCCATTATCCAGTCTCAACTTCTTGGTTTTATATCCTAACTGTGTTTTAATTTCCTTTATATAGTCTATTAAATTTTGTTCTGCTTCGCTTTTCTGTTTTAATAATTTAATAGTAACAAAATGAGAATAATCATCAACTATAACTTGAAAAAATTTTGCTCCATTAATATCTGCTGGACTAATAGGACCACAAAGATCTGAATGAATAAGGTCTCCTATTTGTCTTGAACATTTTTTGATTCTAGGAAATACTCGCCTAGTACTTTTACCTTCAGTGCAGCTTTCACATTGTTCATTGGAAACTGGTAGACCCAAAATTTTCAAACTTTTCCTATTTAGATGACCAAGTCGTCTATGCCATAAAGTAGGATCTATGTCATTCACTCCGCTCAGTAAACATGTTTTGTCTGAAATTATATTTAAATTTAATACATATAAACGTGAATGTAACTGTCCCTGAATCTTTTTCTGTCCCCTGCAAATTGACACTAAATTATCATGAAATTTAACTTCTAAACCCTTAGCTAATACTTGCCTAACCGACAGTAAATTATGTGTAACATTTTTTACTATCAAACATTCAATAATAATATTTTCATTATTCCAACTTACTGCTATTTTTCCTTTCTGTGTACTTTTTAAATAATTACCATTCGCAATATGAATCTTAATTTCATCTATTTCTTTTATATCATACATCACGCTTTTATAGCAATCTTTTATTAAGTTTTCTGTAGCTCCTGAATCTATAATGAACTTTATAGTATTACAATTAAAACTGTTACTAACATTAGCCTCTTCTTCTTTCATTTCAAATGCTGTAAATAGCCAGTTATCTTCTTCTTGATTATTGTCTTGATGAATTGCGTATGTCGCTCTACTTCTTCCTCGTCCTCGCACTATTGGTCTTCTTTGCCTTCTATATGGTCTTGAATTACTTCGTTGCCAATTTTCATACGACGTGGTTGGTTGATCTCTTCTTTGTCCATAGTATCCTCTTGTTGTTTCAGCTTTCTGACATTCATAAGATTTGTGACCTTTCTTTCCACATATATAGCATACAAATATTTGTTCTTGGGGCGTTTGAACGTCATTGTTCGAAAATTTTATCTCTGCATCAAGCAACCTTGATTTCACGAAATCCACTCTAATATTATTATTTTCAGTTGACATTGTTTCAATAGATGTTATCACCCATTCATATTCTGGAGGCATTGCAGCTAGGAGATAACAGACTTTGTCTTCCTCTTCTATATTACTTCCTATGCCACTTAGTTCTCCAATAAGATTGTCAAATACTAAAAAAAAATCTTGTAGTTTTGTACCCTTTGCACATTTTAATGTAATCAGTCGTCTTCGTAAATGTAATTTATTGAATATACTTTTCCTTTCGAATTGTTTTTCCAATGCTTCTATCATACTAAGTGCGGTGTTACAATTTTTAACTATCTCCAAATATTTATCACTAAGGCACTGAACTATCAGCCATTTTGCTTTAGAATCTTTTGCATGAAATGTTTTATCTTCAATCTGTACTTCGTTTATTACATAAGTTTTATTAATTGTTTGCTCAACTTGTTTTTCCTCTAGTAACATTTTTAGTCGAAATTTCCAGTTTGAAAAAGAATCTCCTTCCTTCAAAATCGGCAGTATTTTCTCCATCTTCCAGAATATTCTTCTTTTGTTTCACTCTAAGATAAATATTTTCTTGATAGTTTTACTTTCTTTTTATTTCTTCTATATTCATCTTTATATACCTTTATTCTCCTTTATTCATGTTGGCGTTCGCAGTTTGGCTGGCGCAGTGGAAGCGTGCTATTGGGATTAGTTTTTGCGAAGGACGGAATAAATAATACACGCCATGTTCATCAGATACGTTTTTCTTTATATTATTTAAATGTGACATTTAACCATAGAGTAAGTAATACTACATAACCATAGACTAATATTCCAACAAATATTTCATAAAGTATTATCTCGAAACTGAAATATATAGTTGTATAGTTTGGAAAGGTTATTAATATCTTCCTTTCACTGGTTGCTAAGCAACTCTTTGTTAGTAAACATTCTTCGTCGAATTTGGCTATAGTGAGACTGATTCGGACACAATAATAGTCGGATTTTTGCGGAAACAACCAATGTTCAAAAAGTGATTACAAATAGAGTACGACCACAGACGAATATAACAGATAGCAAACTTTCCCGATGGTAAAAAACACACACCAAACCTAAAGGACGCAGAGGTAAAAATAAAAGACGAAATTTGGTTATAAGATCTATTAAAATTAGGCAGTTGCTTCTGGCAACGTTGTAATGATATCAGAATCACCAGGATCCGTAATCGCTAAGGTGCACACTCTGTAGTACTTGCCACATGCTGTTCCCAGTTCGATGTTATTACCGCTGTAGTGGTGTACACCTGTCTTGGCTAATAGTGCATAATATTCAATCTCAGATTTCCTGTAACAAATAAAACTCTATTTATATTTTGTTTTTAGACCAGCAGGTAAGAACCTTCAACCTAGAACGAAATGTGTATTTTACTAATTACGAAAAAAAATCTAAAAATATACAATCAGGATAACTTAGTCTGAAAATGTTAGTTTTAGTTCATAAAATAAAAAAAAACAATAGTTAAAACTTCTATTCAGTATTCAAATGTTCTTTTTATCATCAGGATCATTTTCAGCAAATTGAAAGGTTGTAATGTTGTATACTGGTCACTTGGAAACATACTCAAAAGAAAGAGCCTACCTATAGAAATAAAAAAAAAAATTATAACAACAATCTTACCTATACCAACATATAGATGTCTAACTTGGACAGGTAATAAACAAAATATGCAGTGAATAAAGATGTATCAAAAACCAATGGAAAAAAGTATGTTATACTTGGAAACTATCAAGAATTGACTGATTACAAAAGTTTAGGATGCAGCAGTAAAAATAAAATGTGTGAAGGAAATGGACTGGTCATATTTTCAGAGAAAAAAAAAGGAAAAGTGGACCAAGTCTATTAACAAATTGTAACCATGAGAGGGGAAACGCAGAAAAGGAAGGCCAATAAAAAGATGGGAGGATGATCTACCAAAGGGTTGGAGGAGAATTTATGATTGGGAGGAATGGCGAATCATAGAGAAGGCCTATGTCGGGGGAAAATGTGACCAGTAAAGGACTGCTGCTGAAGTTAAAAAAATTATATATATATATATTTATATATATCTAAAACTAAGCTAATGTATTAGTATTAAAGAAGATGGTCAGACATTAAATGCTATTTTTATTTTATTTACTTTTGTTTAATGTTGTATAAGTAAAAAGTTCTTGTAAATGGTATGTCCAAATAAAAAATATACTAAAAGTAGGAAAATAATTGAGCATTATTAAAAACTTATATGAGGCTATAAGTTAATTAGAGAAGAAAATTAATTACCTTATTTTCCATTGAAGATCAGCATTTTGGACCTTTGAATAGACTACTCCATAGGTTTCCCAGATGAATTAGCAATTGGCAGTTAAGGTTTATTGAATTTTAATATTACAAGAAATGTAAATTCAATAAATTAATTTTGATTAAAAAAAGCCTTTTAAAATAAAAAGATTATTTAGATGATGTTATTTTTTATTATATCTAAATAGTTCTGACCAGTGTTAATTCATCAAAAAAGGAATCCATACTTCTTTGTCAAAGACTCCATATGCTTCCCTTTCAAAAATAAAATAGGAAACTCTACTTCTCAGTAGTCTCACCTTAACGGAGGAGCATTCTTGGCTACAATGACGAGTTTAGCTTTGCCTTGTCTGAGAGTTTTCAATGTCTGTTTATAACCCAGACAGTACTTGCCAGATTTCATAACCAATGCTAATCGAGCATTGATTGACTCAATGGTTTTTTTCTGAAACAAATCATATATTTGAGGAACAGCATACTTTTCTCCAAACGATGAGTCAATTAGAATTTTTTGTATCACGAAAATAACCGGTGAAAAGCCGAATTTGGTGCTAACTTAAGGATGTATAACTAACCTATAACTGTGAGGTACTTTCTCAACTCTACAAATTATAAAACAATGAGAGAGTCTATCATGTAACGATTAATTTAGGACTCCGATAATGCAGGCTATTCAATAACCTAGGTAAATGAACAACCATCCAAGAGTCCAAGAAAAAAAGCGACACGTGTATGGTCATACATACCTGTTTCTTAGCCGCAACCATTGTGATAGTTTTTGGGTTCAAGGAACACTGAAAATAATAATCTTATTAATTTAAGGAAAGATCACAAAGAATTTTAAGAGTACATTATAAGAGTTACAAACATTTTAATAATTCAAAAGACTTACAAAATACGAACCTGTAAAACCTACGAACAAGATCGCAAAAGAAAGAGGAATTAGGGATGCAACTAATGGTGTGCGGAATCGATTACCATTAAACAATTAATCGATTTTTCAAATAATCAGTTGCTATCGATTATTATTTCCTAATCGACGCACCATCGATTATTTCTTTAAAGGTTAGCAATAGGAATAATTTAAAACGTTAGTAAAGTACCCACTTACTTTACTTCGATGGCTCAGCAACCCATAGCGGATCGCGAGTGTAAATATTATTAGTAGATATTCTAATACTTATTATGGCAGCCCTAGAATACTCCCATGAACAAATAGGTAACTTTACTCTTTGGTCGGGGAACTCCGATGAATGAATGAACGGTTCTTACAGTTTTATTTTAACAAATACAAATTAACCGTTACTTACTTAATGCACATGTAAGTATATACGGTACATACCTATACCAAAATAATATTTTTTACAGATTTTGTCTGTCTGTTTGTTCCGACTAAACTCTGAAACGGTGAGACCAATTTTTTACGGGATTTTCACTGGCAGATAGCTTATGTAATAAGGAATTAGTAAGGCTACTTTCCACGCAGACGAAATCGCGTGTACAGCTAGTTTAATTCTATAAATTTTGCATGCACAATGCTGGTATAGTAAACATTGTCTTAAAATTGATTTTTAACTATTATTCATTAACTTGAATGGCTTTAAAATACGGTGGAATTAATCTGAAATCATTAATAAACTCTTGGGGTTTTTTACTCCTTGAATAATCGTTGACATAAATTGATTATTAATCGATTGCGAGAAATACTGTATTGATTAATCAATGTGTATAATAATTGAATCGGCACATCATTAGATGCAACAAACGATAAATCGGGTCCAAAAATATCAATTACTATCGATATCGAGGAAAAAGCGATTACGATAATTCGATATCGAAAAGACCAACATATCAAATCCTAATATCAAGTGAAATCCTTAAAGTTAATGTACATACATATATCAACTGTCCAAACTTTTACATCCATTATAAAATAAAATTTCTTTCTTTCTTTCTTACATCCAACGGCATTTTCACACACGAAATGACATTTGTAACACGTGTCACGTTATTTTGTGACCCCAATTTTTAGCTTTGAAATTTGTAGTAGTTTTTATTATTATTATTATTATCTTGACACTCGATGATTAATTAATCGGTTACAGAGAGATGTCGTCCCGTGACTCACTGGAAAAAAGATAGGTATTTCCCTTTATTTATTTGTTTATGTATAGTGGATGTCCACTTTTATGTACATGGTTGATGTCTGCTTATGAAGGCTGATGAGGGTTTTTATTATAAATATTATTTGTACTTAATTACAAAGCAAAATGTTATCCCCAATATAATTGCTATCTATATAAAGTGGCAATAAGTCGTTTTCCCATTATGATCAGGAGCATACTTTTTAAATGCAGTACGCAAAAAATAACAAAATCGTAAAATAACTTTTATTCTTTTGTCGACTTTTCGGAGGATGTCCAGAGTCCAGAAAAAGTAGAAAATGTTCCGTAATGATTCATTAAATCTATCAATCAATCACTCGGTAATGGCAGAAACAACTTAGAAATAATTCCATTATATTTGCTGTTAATCATCAATATTTTTCCGTGGCAAAAAATAAACGTATTTTTGTTTATTAAAATTTTCCCAGATATTTGACTCTACCCATCTGGCAACTTCCGTTATTTTTAACTGACATAATTAAAAACTGATATTTGCAAAGTTCGAAACTTAGATATCAATACAAATAAGAAAAAGTACAAATAGAATAAGAGTTGTAAATTGAGTTTTGAAAACTTATTTACTTTTATACATGGAGAAATCAAGATATTACCATAGCGACATCTTGTTTGATTTCGGGAACTAATGTTTTTTAAATACTTCCTCATTCATTTTAATTATTTATTTATTTTTAATTATGGAAATCTTCTTTCTGAATACGTTTATATGTGATTAATGCTCTTTTTTCGTAAGCCAGTTTATGGGAACCATTAGGTTGAAGGTGTGGTGCTACTTGACGATGGAGACAACTGGCAAGAGAGATCAAAGGTAATTGTTTCCCTCCGAGCTAGGTGTTATTAGCCCGGGGACCGCGGTCCAACCGATGTAGGTTGGACGTTCTATTTATGCCAATTGGTAATGAAATTTATTGTGGGCGATGTAGGTTTTAGACTGCCAATTTATATTGTCTTTTATTGCTAAAGATCTGTTACTCATAATAGTTCTCGTTCATATTGGCACACCAATTTACCAAAAATAAGTTTCGTTGCTTTGACATCCAGTTCATAGTGCCATAAATAACGAAAAGTGACTGAATAGACCGATTAACTTATTAAAGATTCTAGTGAACTATAAGTTCTATTAGCTCATAAGTCTGAAACGTTTCCTAATCGCACGTCGTTCATAACTACACAGAACTACTAATTATAATACTACTCTTTGAAATACTTACTAAGTCTGTGCCAGAGAGAGATGGACGCTTAAACGAAAAGCACTTAATTAAGCATGCTTTTCTAAATAAGTGAAAAAGCGCTTTTTCACTTAGAAGAAAAGTATGCTAATGCTTATTATACGTCCAGCCATCAAGATATAACTACTAGCTTCAATAAATTTTTCTGTATCGGCATTTTTCTATTAGAGGGCAGCACTTTACATAAATGCACTGTATCATACTATTAAGCGTGATATCCAACTAGACTTTTTGCAACAACTTTTTTGGTTGGTTAATCCAAACGCTTTTTTAAACGGAACTTATACTTAAAAAAACAGTACGCTGACGTAAGTACACGTTGTGTTGAATAAAGTATGCGTAAATAAATTGCTACTTAAGTAATGACTTTTGTTTATTCCTAAATAAACAATATCAATAAGTTTTGTTATGAGGTGATGGTGTATATATAAAACATACTAAATATTATTGAACTGCATTGTTTTGAGAAACGGTAATAGTATTATGGTCTTGTATTATACATAAAAACCTTTCTTTTGTCCCTATCAATGAAAAAAAAACGCATCAAAATCCGTTGCGTAGTTTTAAAGATTTAAGCATACATAAGGATATAGGGACAAAGAAAGCGACTTTATTTTATACTATGTAGTGATAACACAATATTGTACGCTTATTATAAACATTTCTAAACGTCAATTGAAAAAAAGCGTTTAATCAATAAGCAGTTTTTAAAAACGCTCTTTAAAATCGTACAACGTAACAACACTTAAAAATTGTAAGCAGTTATTTCCACCTCTACCAGTGACCATAGAGTAATGTAATCACAGATCACTATAAACTAGTCAGGGTAGAAGAATGTAATGTAATGGCCAGTGCAAACAAAGTTTTGGCTTAAAGGCCTCTGCATCCAAGCCAAATATATTATTAAAAAAAAAAAATTATGGCCAGTGATTCGTAGAGTATTATTGTTCTGTGCGTTCTGTGCCAGTGATCGAAGTCGCCAAGTCGGTGAAGTTGGTAAAGACTGAAATAAAATACATAAAGTTTAAACTTATTCTTTAACATGGATGAAGAAATGGGATTTGATGAATTTGGATGGTATGATGACGATGGAGGTCCTGATTTTCGTCCGCCAAGAGTTGGAGGAGCGTACAGGTAAAGTTGTAGGTGCTATAATCCGTTTTATTTTGTTCTGGGTTAGAAATACTGTTTAAATGTTAATTTTTTTTACCTACTAGATTACAAACGGAATGTCGTGCCGTAGGACACTAATCATCAACGAATTCTTTTAATTTCCATACATGACATTAAGAAACTACTACCAGAGCACTCATCTACAATTTACTATAAATAAATGTTATAATGAGAAACTAACACTTATTTGATTTATTTTATTTATTATTTGAGTATTTGATAATAATTCTCATTTCTTTTTTACAAAAGATTGGTGTGTTGCTCTGGCACAGATGTCATTGTAAAATTGTAAATGGCAGATTACATTCTTGCAGAAATGATAATTATCAAACTTTACTTTTAAGAAGTCTATTTGAATTAAGATTATTTTGACTTTGATTTGGTGTTGATGAATTGGTCAGTGTATTGGTGACCTTGTTGTGTAATTTTTAAATACATCATGATCATTTTCAAACATAGTGGTTGTGATAGTGATTTATGGAATTGTGTAATTTTTAAAGTCACAATCCCTAAGTTCATCATGTCATCATCTGTCAGAAAAGTTGGATAAAATTGGGGTTTGATTTTATGTTTGAGATATTTATTAATAGCTGTCAAAAAATTTAGTTGTATGTAGAGTTCCGAGTAAATCCACATATAAAAAGAACCCAATACTGGAGGAATTTATTTACATAGTGTACCTTAGCGAAATTTGCAAATTTTGTGGTAGTTAAAAAATAATCATTTTATGAAATTGTAAATGCAAAAGCAATCAAGTAAGTTTTCTTAATTTTTTCCACCATAAGGAGTAATTATGTTATTTCGAGAATAATAGTAATGTGTGTTATTGGGTTTTTAATGTAAATAAAGTATATCCTTAACAAAACTTTAAAAAACATAATAAATTATACATAAAATGTTGAAAGATTACAGTTAGTGACCATGGAACTTTAATTATAATCGATATATATATCAATGTTAGTTACAATGTGGGTGTAGACAGAATAATATGGGTGGGTTACCCATATTCATAAAGCAATGTGTGTAGTTTTACAATTTACAGTACTATTGAATCCGAAAGGCGAACGGTTATCTGGCTGGCAAAATAATAAGGCGTTTAGCTTATGATTTTTGGACATTATGTGCTGCTTAAGGAGCTATTTTTTAAATAATTTGTTATAACAGTGTATAAGGTGACTCGAAACTTGTGAGATCTCACAGTATTGATATGCATAAACTCGCGAGATCTCGCCCGAGCCACTATCTCACGAGATGGCATTCCCAAAGTTTAATTGTGATTCCTCTGCAGATTCGTAGATCACAGGTAGACTCGTTGAACATAGCTGTGTTGTTACCAGCTATTTATTTAACTAATTAATATGTAGCACTTATTTCACGTTTTAGAAATCGTTATAACGATGCTTATGGAGATTACAGAGGTGGTTATGGACCACCAGGTGTGAGAGGTCCCCCAGGCCCACCATTAGGTTTTGGGTTTTCTCCTAAACCAATATTCATGTTGGGACGAGGATTTGGTCCTGGTGGACCCCCTCCTGTCAACAGATTTCGACATGAAGATAAGGCCATCAAATACCTTATGCGTGAGTATGGCAATGTACAGTTACTGCTAAGATTATTGAAATAAAACTGTGGCCGCTATGTCAAAGAGCACAACTCCATAATGATTGTGGATTAATAAAGTAACACTGTAAAATATTATAATAGTTACAATGCGGCTTATAGAAAAAAATCCTAACTATCGACAGGGAAGCCGCCGGTTTTCGGATAGTTATGGGTCTAAATTCCATCTCGGACGCTTGAGTTTGTCCAGTGATATTTAAACGTTTTTGTATAAGGTTGTTAAATATTCTTAAATTAGGTATATATAATTGATGTACAAGTGTGTACAACACAGCATAGGACAGGCCTTTACTGTGGAGGGTAATGGTCAAACTACGTAGACCGAATATTTATTGATAGGTTTTAAAGATTGATGATGCAGCTGGCGACAACCGACGACCAACATACGATGTTGCATTCCTACCAAAACATGAACGATTGAAGGAACTCGAAATAACTATTTTCGTCACTTACCTGATGGCTATTATTTGTGAAGTTGTTTTACTCCTTGTATAATAGATCAATATTGCCTCTTCAAAATTTTTTACTTTAGCAAGTCTTTAACTATGCTATAAGAGTTTAGCCGTTAAGTTAAGTCATGGCGTATATACATCAAAAGAATCATTTAGCGCTTACACGATGCGGAGACCGATCTGCAACCACACGTTGGCGTTGATGCGAAAACTTTCTTGCGTACTCGCAGCGCAGGCGATTTGGTTGTCAAAATGAATTGAGTATTGTGATCTGGTCTATAGAGTTGAAATCTGATATAAGTAAAAATGAGATAACCTAATGTACGTTCTTAAAAATATTAGTTTGTTTTCTATAAAAGCGATGTACACAATTTAAATACAAGAAATAAATGTAAATTAACGGTGCCTGTCACTAGAATGCAAAATTAACTTATTCAGGGGTCTTTGTACGCTTCTACAATAAGGTCCCAAGCAAAATACAACAATTAGATATCATGCAGTTTCAATCTGCTATTAAAAATACTTGTTAAAAAAGCCTATTATAAGGTATCCGATTATATAACAGATAAAAATCCTTGGACTTAAGATGGTCCAACAACTAGATGATTTCTTCTAAACTCATTATATCTCAAAAATTATCATGTTGCCATTGTTATTAAATTATTATGTTATCATGTATTGATCTGGTAATATCATGGATTTTGTGAATGTCATTACTCCCATTAGAGCTGGCGAGTTTCTTGCTCGTTCGAAGACGTCCTGAACGAGTGGTAGGAAAAAAAAATTGGACTATACAAAAGTACTTTAGGAAAAGTCTATTAGAATAAAGATTATTTTGACTTTGACTTTGAGTACGCGCTAGCGTCGAGGAGGCCAATGCATGGCAGCCATTTACTAAAACTTACTCTCACTCATCTAAACGCGCTCGTCTAAACCGCTAACTAATACGCGCTGATCTAAAGTTTTCAGCATATCACGCGCACCCCCTTTTTTCTGCATAATGTTCTTATTCCCAATATACTTTGGTTTTGGCATACATAATTCATTGGCATCATTATCTTTTAGGCAAATTTTCTTTGTATAATTTTATTCGCATAATATATTAGAAATGAAAGAACCGATGAATCAGTTAGGTTTGAGAGACAGTAGTCGGCTATCCCGGAGAATACGCCAGGGTTTCCGGGTGCCACTCCCTAACGAGGGTTTGCCCATGGTTTTCAGTGGGTGTCCTACATATTCCGTCCGACGGGCGGCAGGGGGCCCGTCGGACGGAATTTTCCTTGGATCTAAAAAAAAGGTTATCTTATCTGCAATCAAAAAAGCGCGCCGAGCTAGCGAAGCGACGTGCCCAGCTAGAGCCACATATAGGTTTTTAAACACTAAGATATTCTTAATGAAAAATACTTAAAAAACCCACCTAACCGACGACCTTTTACACTCCGGATCCTCGAAGTACATAGGGCTGGTGGATTTTTTAAGCATTTTTGAAAAATAATGTGTGAACACTAAACGGCGAGAATGACTCTTAAAAAATGTTATTATGACGTCAACACATTTCTGAAATTTAATATAAAAATTTTAAGATTTTGTATACCAATTTTACCTATGAAATTGCCGTTTTTCATGAAATAAATGAAGCATATTTATTTCTATATTTTTTGTTTCTGTTAATCAAACTTTAACTTTTTCTATTAATCAAACCCATGAAATCAATGCATCTATACCAACGCATTGGTAGCTTATTGATGCCCTTGAAGAAATCAGCTGGACGGGAGGCAACAAATTCTTAAAGGCATTTTGTACTGCCTCTCGGGTATTGATTTTTTTCCCGCCAAGAAAATTTCCAAATTCTGAAAAAAGTAGAAGTCTGTAGGTGCAAGGTCTGGTCAGTGCGACAGATGACGGAGAACATCCAACCCAGCTCTTGTAGCGTGGAGACCGTCTGATGTGCAGTAGGAAGTCGCGCGTTGTCGTGCAGGAGCAGTGGAGCCGAACGATTGACCAAAGCTGGTTGGAGACGTGCAAGCTTTTGCCATCATTGTGTTCAGTTCTTCACAGTACACATCTGCAGTATTGTTCGTCCCATTTGGTAAGAAGCTGTGATGAATTATACCCGCGTTAGACCATCAAACAGTGACTATCACTTTTCTAGGGGTAAGTTCTCGTTTAGGGCATTGTTTGGGTGCTGAACCAGGGTCCAACCATCTTGCTGAGCCCTTACGATTGTCGAACAGGGACCATTTCTCGTCACAAGTAACAATGCGGTTCAGAATTCCTTCATTTATATGCCTGTTGAGCAGTGCAAGGTATGTCTCGACACGTACTTCGCGCTGGCGATCATTGAGTTCGTGGGTATCCATTTGTCAAGCTTTTTTACCTTGTCAATATGACACAAATGGACCAATTTTGTTTTGATGCTAATGTCAAAAGCTTCTGCTAATTCAGGCGTAGATTGAGTTTGATCGGCTTTCACAATCGCCTTTACTTCGTCATTGTCGACCAAAGTTTTCGGACGACCACGAGGTTCATTTTTAGGTCAAAATTGCCAGAACGGAAACAGGCAAACCAATAACGGGTGATGCGTTCGTTTGTAGTGTTCATTCCGTAAACGTTGATGTTGCGTGCCGCTAGTGCCGCTGCCACGACGGTACTCATACTCCATAATTACTCGATTTTTTTACTTATCCATGACGACGAAAAATGTTCGAATACGTTGAAACCATCACAACTAAAGACTAACTATTAAACATATGACGAATTTGAAAAAAGTATTCCATATCTTTAAAGTAAAATTAATTTGAAATTAAAATTATCAGCCAAAATAAAAATATTTTCATTTGAAATGGCCAGTACAATAGAACGGCAATTTCATAGGTGAACTATTAAATATATGACTTCACTTTGTTCATTGGGTACTTCTATTTCAGGGTGTGGCGTAGCAAAAGAGACCCTTAAAAATTTACCAAAAGAGTTCTTGCAGTATATTGAGCCACATTATTGTGGTATATGTGGGCAAAACTTTGAATCGTTTTCTATGTGTAAGTGTCATGTTTTTTTTTAAACTTACGGTACTTGCTATATTCCTTTTAATATTTTTAAATATCTATTTATAATGAAATCAAAATTTATTTTATTACAGCAAGGATGCACTACATTTCTAAAAATCATACGAAGAATCAAAAGAGATGGCTATCACAGAAACCTGAAATAGGATCTATCAGTATGCGCAAGGAGGTAAATAAGACAATTGGAGGATGTAATGTTTCTCTAGGGGTTTTAGCAACCATATTTCGTTCACATAATTTAATAATTTATGAAAACCAAAACCAAGAGAGTCGTTCAGACTGTAACATCATTGGGTGTTATTAGTTTGACTGTATTTTCATCACTTGTGCTGTTGTCTCCTGTTATATGCTGTTAAGCAATATGATATATGGTCGACAATATATATCAAGTGAGTATTATGTGAACACTGTTGTTAAAATCGAAACTTACATTAAGAAAATTGTCTGGCTCGACGTTGTTATGAACGTAGAGTTATTTATTTGCACATTTATAAAGTTTCTATGATAGCCTTAGTGGTGTTCAGTACTTCATCCCTTCATACTGGGTCTAATTTCTTATACAAACATCAGCTATTCATAAATTAATTTTATTTATTTCTGTAGTATAGTATATCGGCTACTGAGATATAAGGTACATATTTGTATGTTGTGAATTTTCTAGGCCTATTGTCTTTGGTAACGATTAGATCCGGCTTCATTACCATACAACGATTATTTCATTTCATTAACATATCTTATTATTTCATTGTGTACTGCGCACAATACGAATATCTTCCAAAGATATGTAAATTTTCACAATTCATCATATTTTTTTAGATTCCATTACGGGCTCGTGAACTTTACTGTGAACTGTGTGACATCCAGATCACATCAAAAGCTCATGCCGATTCTCATTATTCTGGAAAACCACACAGGGCGTATGTATTTCAATTTGTTATTGATAGTATGTAAAAGAGAATACAACATTTATGTAGCAAATAAAATATATTATTTTACAGAATTGTCGAGGGTCGGAAAAACCCAAAAAATCCAATGCTACTTCAACATGGCATGCAGAGTCGACTGTAAGTTTACCCAAATTTATGTCATTACAAAATCTACCTTTCAACAGGTTAAAATATTGCACAACACACAGAGATATTACGTACGATGGGTACGAATTGTCACTTCACGCAATAACAGTAATTTTTTTTTTCAGTAATATTTATTAAAACTAAAATTGAGACTAGTACATACGTATTATAACACGGTCATCGAACAGAGAGAATTTTGTATAATGACCTAGCACTACATATCTCTTTCACTCGTGCGCAAATATATTGCTACTGCCCTCGCACTGATGCATGTAGCCAATTTTGTCATAGTAAACTATAAACTTTAACGATATCTATGAGTAGATACAATGTACGAATTTTTTTATATTCAGCGATCGTGCTTTATAGCCGTTCGCTTTGAGTAGCTCCCGTTTCACCGCGTACGGATAGTAACACCATCGCGTGCCATGACCGTCTTCGTCTACGTCGCTATTATTACTTCTGCATTTTAGAGTGCCTTACCTCGAAAGGAACAACGGAATCCTTATAGGATCACTCTGTTGTCCGTCCGTCTATCAAGACCCTTATTTTCGGGAATGCATGGAGGTATCAAGCTGAAATTTATACTCAAATACTCAGGTCTACTGTCCCTCGGAACTGTGAAAAAATTAAACTAAATAAACGCAATCAAAAGGTACAGTCGTTTATGCCGCAAATTTTCAAAACTAGCATGGGATCTAAACCGGAAGTCCCGTGAACTCGGAATCTTGAAATTAAGAGAACACCGATGAAGGAAAAATTGCAAACAATACCTACAGGTTTGTACGGAACCCTTGATGCGTAGTCCGACTCGCCCTTGGCCGTTTTTTTATGAATTTGTGTTCTGTTGTTATATAATCCTTTAGTTAAGATTTTATGCATGGTTTACCTACTTCAAAGATTGATAATAATTAACTATTTATAAATCTTATTACACTAGAGAGCAGCTCATCCGTCGTGAAAAAAAGCATTTGAAGTCTGTTGCGCCGGAGCCTGCTGCTGTGGAGGATGCAAAAGAGCCAAAGAGTTTTAAACCTGAACTATACTGTGATATATGCAAGGTATGTTTTTACCAGATCCAGTATTGTATGTTTTACTAAAGTAATCGACCATTATTCACTACACTACAAATATTTTTTTAACAATTATCGTTACACTAGCTGTTTAATTGCGTAATTCGACCGCCTAAATTATAGCCCATGTCACCATTGTATGATAGAGTTTCTCGTAGGTGGAAGAATTTTCATGTACGGATCAGTATTTCTGAATATACATTACAAACAAAGAAAGTTATAAATAAACTTAACCTCTGTTTAATATTAGTATTAAAATGATGTTTGGTAATGTATTCTCAAAATGTTTATTATGTTAAAAAGTTCATCTCTCCATACAAAGGCAGTCGGGAAGAGATGTATAATGATAAAAAACCGCAGATTATGACGTATATATTTATGTTATGTTTTTGGTGTTAATAGAAGCGCTATTCTCCTATCTATCTATTTATACTTATTACAATAAGTCTTTGTTAAACGGGGAATTTAAGTTATTAATTACAATAACTCTAACCCTAGAAATGAAAATGTGTTTTTTTTCCTCTACATATTGAAATCTAATTTAATTAAGTCTCATTCTTAAACCAGCTAAGTTTTTAGGCCTATTTTCGCCATTTTTCTTGGATATTGTTACAATGAAATTGCCAGCGATATGATTTTATTTTGTTATAATAAAAAAACTTCATTTTACAGACTTCAGTCACATGTACCGAACAAATGACTATGCACTTAAATGGCAAAAGACATCTCACTAAAGAAAAGCAGCATATACTCAAGATGATGAAAGGCGATATTGCTGAAAATAAAGGTAAGGTTTTATAGAAATAAATGAAACGCATACTCTACGGGCCTGTAGGCGAAGTTACGTCCCTAGGCAAAACAAAGGGAAGTTATTATTTCATAATAAAATTTATCTTTTCGATGTAATAGAACCACACCTTATTTTGTCTTACAACTAGGGGGGGAATTTACTATTTTACTGTTCCCACGCGGCGGCAGTGTTTGTAAACTCTTACTCCATTTTGAACTCCTAATAGCTAGTGTGATAAAATCGTATCTACATTATAACAATATTTACTTAATTGATTAAAGTAAATATTCCTTAAAACTAATTACAATGGGTTTTCTCTCAGTAGTGAAGTCTAAAATTCACTATCTCTATCATAGTATTATGTATTGTATTCTTTTCTTACCATACCTAACTACATTTTGTACATATATGTGTGAGTTGGTCTTTCTCACCTTTGTTCTTTTCTTTTTGATATTAATTTAGTACGTTGCTGTGAAATTGGCACTGTTACTTAGTAAGTGTTAAATATTTTGTAATGTGACTATAGCTAATGACACATACTTATTTCTTTTTTTTTCTAATTTCAATGTTAAATCAACATATAATGAGGAAGTATTTAAAAAAAAACATTAGTTCTCGAAATCAAACAAGATGTCGCTACGGTACTTTCTTGATTTCTCCATGACAACTCTTCCGGTTTTCTTTCATGTATAAAAGTAAATTGTTTTTCAAAACTAAATAAACAACTCATAATCTATTTGAACTTTTTCGTATTTGTATTGATATTTAAGTTTCGAATTTTGCAAATTTCTGTTTTTTAATATGTTAGTTAAAAAGAACGGAAATGACTATCTTTGGTCCAATCGTTTCCTCAACAAAAATCAACTTTTGCTAGGGTCGCCATCTAGTGGAGGTGCCTTTTTGGTGCTTTCTTTTTATTTTTAAATACTTCCTCATTAAATAGTGTAAGTTGCAAACAAACTGTTGAGTTACCAAATAAAAAAAGAACCAATACTGACCTTCTAAAGAAATATAATTGATTATTTGTTAATAACTCACAGATGGGAATTCTGGAGAAGCTACAAAAGCCAATGAAGATGAACCCAAAGGAGATGGCGGTAATTTATTTTTTAATCAGAAGTCACTATTTACTAAGGTTAAAGAGCGCAGAAGCGCAGAATGACTGACAACAAAACGAAGAGTATGTGTTAAAAAAATACAAATCATATGGCTTATATTTCTCCTGTTTTGTCCAATACACCACTTCATTTACTTACATGAGATATACATCTTTTGTACGCTACTACGAATTAATAATATATGAGCGAGTAAATAATCTATATTCCTCTCGGTATTCGAAGAATTTACATCTTATAGTAAATGTTGAAAATTGGGTTCAAAGAATATATCTAAATATTTTCAATCAGCCCTTTTACGTCCCCACTGCCGGGGCTCAGACCTTCCTTATGGATGGTTAAGGAGGATGGGCCCCGACCCTCCATGCTGGCCCAATACGGATTGGAGAGTATTAAAGACATGTGCAGCCGAGACCAACGACTTAACGTGCCTTCCGAAACACTCAGTAGCTCGAGATAATAATTTTGTGTCACCCATCCCGTGATCGACCCTTGCGAAAGTTGCATAACAACAACGATCGCGGGCCGCGGCGCTTACCCACTACGCCACCGTGCTACTCTAACTACGATTTGAATATAGCTTAATTGATTTTTTTTTTTGCGCTGTTTTAGTATTATAGGTAGATCTCGTATGTTGTCGCAATGTTTCCAGTTTTTAATAGTCACCTGGTAAATCATATTTCGATTAATATTACATGATTTATATATCAGTGGATCTTAAAATAATCATATCAAGATACCTAGTTTCCGATATCTAAGCGTTCGCTGTTGTGTCGTATGTCAACGGCGAAGAAAGTTTTACACATAAAATGGAATTTAAACTTTTAGTTTGAACTTAAACATGTCGCTTTAGATGCTGAAAATTCAGATGAAGAGGATAAAGAGAAGGAAGATTTTGATTGGGGTAATGATGGCGGTGATTGGGATGAGCCAACTACTACTACTGAAGGACTACATGCAGATGGTAAGTTATTTTTTCGAATATACATATGTTACATCTAAAGGAAGGTGTAAATAATCTTGTCCAATTTCGACTTAAAAATTTACTGATGTGATATATCTCAATATGTAGCTTATATTTTACTTATTTCATAACAGGAAATAGGGATGATGACTGGCTAAAAAAATGCAATTCTATTTAGTCCGTCAGTCCGATAATAGAAAAATATTAGATACGTATTTTTTTTTACTTCAATTTAACAACAAATAGCTTAGATAACAGGCATTAAAGTTGAGGAGTGGGGGCTCGCTACGTCACAGTTGTATAGAAAACGTACCCTAACGTGACGTCATGCGAAATTTCAACTCCATGTAACGCCGTAATTTTATAATTACGAAAAGAATAAAAAAATACGTGTTTAATATTTTTGAACACCCTACCTGACGGACAAGCAAACAAAAATTAGTCATCATCCCTATTAGATCTTATAGTCAGGATAAAAATTGCGAGGCTAATAGTTATTATTAAATAGTACTATGGTGACTACCCAAATGCAATTCTGACCCAATGACGGTTTGCTATCTTTCGTTTTATCTACTACGGTATAATATTCTTTCGAAATAAGGTAAAGCGCCTTTAAGCTCTAATAAATGTCAAATTTGTATGTAGCTTTAAACTTTAATAGACGTTTGTGCACCTGGCTGTTAGATTATTTCCATTATTTCCAAGTTAAATTATAAAAGGTTATGATTTTAATGCATTAATTATTAAAGTAGCTTCACAATTATCTCGAGTTTTGACAGCTGTTATAATCTAAAAACATTATTTACAAATTACAAATCTTCTTGGCCTCCAAATGAAAAAATGCTGAAATATCTTTATATTTTAAGCAAAAACTAATTGAAATTATAACTAATGGTGGGTAGACGCGACTAGTTACATAAAAACATAACAGGTCAATCAATGTATGGAAAGTGTACATGATTCTTTATGTATACCCGACTAAGCTTAGGTTTATTTTCGAGGGATGTTTAATGATAGTTTCTTTAATTTTAAGTTGGCTAACGGTAAGTTGCAAAAACGTCCATTAAGGTTTAATGACGCCTTTAAGCTCTAATGAATGACAAATTTGTATAGATAATGTCGCATAAACTCATGACAATTTCAATGAACTTTTGTGCAACTGGCCGTATATAATTTGACAATATAGTAACTAATAGAAAAGTATACATGATACTTACTATTTCGTCGCTAAACATTTCCCCAAATTTGTATTTAAAAAATAATTCTCAATTAATAATCTGTATTCAAAATTTATAAAATAGCTTCTGTAGTCAATATTCTCTACTGCAAACTGTAATTAAACAATTTCGTTTTGCTCATAAAATGTCACGAGATAAATTAACAAGAACAAGAATGGTTTTAGATTTATTGGATTTTTGGTAGTTATAGAAAACAAACTTAGTTTAGTTGGCTATTTTACGTTCAGGCGTTACGGTAATACGTTAAAGTCTGAACGGAACATCTTAACTTTTATAAGAAGGAATAATAAGTGGATTTTCATTTTTTTTTTAATGTTCATATATTTTTTTGTTTATTTCAGATACGTACTGATCGAATGCGTTTTAATTTTGTGTTACGCACGATGAAGCTGGCTTTAGAAAATTTGCATGCACTGATAACAATAATACCTAATTAATGGCATTACACACAATATCCATGTATCTAAGTGTTTTATTTTCACATCTATGACTTAAGCGCACATCACGAAGTATTTGTATTTTACTTACGTAAATATAGCTGCGATAGCTCTAGGTCTGTCTCATAAAAAATACTTAAAATGTAACAAAAAATACTTAAAAATTTAACTGGTTCAGTGCCCAAGACGAGGATTATGCGTTGTCATTAAGAATTGAGTTCTATAAGAATGCCAATATGTCTATGTAGAAAATCTAAATTCAAGTTCAAGTTTTGTCTTTGTTTTGTTTTAAAGTACAGCCTGTACTTGTATTTTATATTTATCTGATCCATCCATATTCATTAAGTTATACATTATTTAGTGTACTTTAGGAAGTATAGCACTATATAATAAACTTATGCTGGTTGATATGATGCCTCTTTTTTTAAATTTTATTTGGTGGTAAAAACTAGGCAAGTCAAAAGTTGAGCTTGAATTTAGGATATTCTACTCAGAACCTCTACACTGTCAACACTGGCCGTAGCCCACCGAACGTTAAGAAAGAACATGTATGAAGAGTGAAAATACGAGCAGAAAAAAGCTAAAACTGAAATGAATGGATATACCGAATGATCAGCAGGCATAGCTGGATTTATTATAGAAGAGAGGCAAATTGGAAAACAAAAATACTCACAGTAAGAGGTCATCACAATAGGATTTACTCACCTATTGACTCACGTTTCGCTTTATGTTAAACTTAGTAAAATTGAGTTTTACTTTTTCGACTAGATGTTATAGTCTGTGTGATCCAATGCAGGATGCATACTTACACACCGATAACGGAAGTATGTTAAACTTAAACTTTATTTTTTTTCGGCTCAACCTCATGGGTTCGGAACCACCTTCCCAACGGGGGAAGGAGACGGTGAATCCTTCATTGGATACCTACTCCTACTGACTAAACACCGATTGGAGCAGGAAGAGGGTAGGGGCGGCGCAGACGTCGAGATGTAAACTTTCATAAATTCTTAATACTAATACAATTATAGAAAGACGTAAGTATATCTTATACCGCGATTCAGACAGCCTTCTAAAAATTTTACTGTTTTTATTACGATTTCGAAGTTGCTATAACAGTTAATACCAACAAAAAATAATCAACGACGAAATTATTTTGGCACTGTAGGTCACGTGATAAGTTAGACGATCACGAAGCGTAGCGTAGCAATCGTCTTAAATTATGAGGTATTTTTTTTTAACAGACAACAAAACTAAATGATTGTTTTGGCGGTTTTGAATCAGCCGTCTTGTAGAATGGTCTAAATGTCATAATGATTTAAGTAGAAAATTTGGCGTGCAATTGAATGGCGCCTTTCAACAAATTGGCTAGCCGCCACATTGAACGTCTGATTTACTCAGTTGGCTGCGACATGTACACAAGTAGTCAGCTTAATGCGTGAAGGGAATAGATAACACCGGTCACATTCCGACTTGTACCAACTCCCTCTACACGTGGAAAGTTGGGCTGTAGAACGATCGTTTAGAGTTGACAATAGAGTTACAAAAGTCTGATTATAGAAATACTCTTTGTTCTAACCTTGATCGTGTAATTAATTGTCAAGTTGATTTTGCCAAAATTCACATAAGAAATTCACCATGGCCTATAACACTAAGTATTTTTATAATCTTTAAAGTTTTTGCATCACACTAGGTGAATACTTTGTTTCCATGATGTAGTCCTAATAAACTTACATACAAAATAATGAGAGGACCGGTCTAAAGCAATACATTCGTTATGAAAATATGGGGCACATAGTAGAGAAAGTATCTTCGACGAAGATGGCCAAAAAAAGCTCTTCTACTGTGAAAAATGCCAAGAAAACCAAACTCAAACCTAAGAATTCATTTAATTTGTGCGATCCAAAAATCCAAGTAATATTACTAGTGGGACTTCTGGCTGTGCTAGCATTGGCGCTATGGTTTGGTTTTACCTATGGCTGCATGGGTCGCCGTCGCCGCCGCCGCCGTACTTGTTGAAGGATGCCTAGAAATTGTGAAGATTATTTGTTACCTACCTGTCTTCATTCACAAATCAGTAATAGCTATAGATCATTTTTATCAAAAAATAAAAACTAAAATAACACATGAAAGGCAAGGCAATATTTCTTAAAATTTTATCTATAAATTTCTGTAGTCAGTCGTTAAGATATTGGCCCTATTACATCTCGACTGTCATTTTTACGTGAAACGGTCAATTTTGGTGTTCTTGATCTCAAAATCCAATGTATAATAATACTAATTTTGTAGCGCAGAATAAAAAATATAATACTAATTTCGTAGCGCAGAATAAATATCCTAATATTAATTTCGTAGAGCAGAATAACTATTGGCATAGTTTATAATTAAACGAAGAAAAAACCTATTATCTCTAAGTCGTATAGTTCTTAGCAGCCTCAAAAATTTGAATATCATTGAATAAAAATAGAAAAAAAAATCTAAACCAAAAAACTTGGAAAACAGCCTTTAGTTAACTTGTAAATATTTCCTAAGGAATAATATTTTAAGTACAAATTTATTATCCTCTATTTCATTAAAACTATAAATATAACGGCAAAATTACTACAAAAGGCGATGCGTTGTAGGACAATTCTGCTAATGTTTACGTAATAATCGCATCTTAATAGAATCTCAACTACTTGTATTTTACCATTGTACTATCAACCTGCCCTGCGATTCTGTAAAAATTCAAACCCGAATTCGAATCCACTCAGATGTCCGAATCTAGTTCAAAAAGCAGCATCCGCTCAAACTTGGATTGGTAATAACGTTTCGTGACATTAGTGAAGTGAGTTTCGAAATGATATATTATTAAAATATGTGAGACACGTATAATCAATCAATTTTGTTTGATATTTATATACAAAAAAATGGAATCAATAGAATTTCTTGACTAAATGACGTGAATTCGGACGCATTAGTGAATTCGAATTTGGGTCTAGGTTTTTACAGAATGGCAGGGCAGAAGTCCAATATTATTAATGCAATGTCTTCCTCACATATTAATGGTAGCATACTCACGACTATACAGGACTTCGGGTAAATATTACAATGGCAAAATGCAAGTCGTTGAGTTTCTATTGAGAAGCGATTATTACGTAAACATTAGCAGAATTGGCCTGCAGGTCGCTAATTCGCTTTTAAATAGGCTTTAAAATAAGTTTATTTCATCAAAAACGTAATATGTACAAAAATGGATAAGTCTATAATTATAGCAACGCAGGGAGGAAGTATTATAAGAAAAAAAAGCGCTAAAAAGCTCCTCACTAGATGGCGACTACCAAAAGTTGATTTTTGCAGGAAACGAATGGACCAAAGATAGTCCAAAGATAGATCGTTCATTTTAAGTAACATATTATAAAACTGAAATTTGCAAAGTTCGAAACTTAGATATCAATATAACTACGAAAAAGTACAAATAGAATATGAGTTGCTTATCGAGTTTTGAAAATTAATTTACTTTTAGAGTTTGGCAAGCGAAACGTGACACCACCTATTTTTCCGTTTTCATATGGCAACAACATAGAACTGTCAGTTTGACACTACGTTAGACAATTCAAGAATATTGAATTTTGTTGTTTTTGCGAATTTGAACTTGTGTTTTTGGTTAAAAATTATGTCGAAGCCGATAAAAAGTTCATCGAGGAAACTTCTTTCCATCATGATTGACAAGTTTACTGAAGTGAAAACTGAATTAAATAAAAATTTCATGGAGAAATTACAACGATTAGATAAAGTTGTATCTTTTTTAGGTTAGTTTTGTATTATAATTTTGATACTTTCGTTTTAATTTTCTGTAATTAACTAAACAGATATTTTTTATAAAATATTGCTCTATTTCAGATAACTGTGATGGTGATATTCAACCAATAATGGAGGAGATAAATGCAATAAAAACTTTAGAAAAACAAGAAATGCTGAATTCGGAAACGCAGTACTTACAAAAAATTTCTTCAATGACAGGTCTCTTTTCTTGTTTTGATTTAAGATAGATTGATAGTATTCCTATAATATTTACATAGGTTTTTTATGATGTATTGGTTTTTATTGTTGACATCCAATGATGTCATAAGAATGTTTTGTTTAACAAGGAAATTCACAGAATTCATGAAACTAATCAAACCATGTAATTGTTATACATGCTAAATATGCACATAAACTTAACTAAATTAAACATAAATTGCATTCATAGTTGAATAGGTATTTAAATTATTTTGATGTATGTGTCTATCATTATTTGCTTTTAAATACATTTAACATATCTTTGTTTCAAAGTGTTTAATCTTTTATAGATGTAAGTATAAGGACACTAAGAAGGATAAAAAATGAAGCATTAATTAATAAAGGAAAATGGGACACTCCTGGGAAAAAACGACCTCATCAACCAACAGTGTCTGCTTTAGATAATTTTGATTTAAGTGCAATTCGGAATAAAGTAAATGAATTTTACTGTGTGAAAAAAATTGTTCCAACATTAAGAAGCCTTCACAATGAATTAAAAGATGCAATAGGATTCAGTGGTAGCCGTGAGACTTTACGAAAAATTATGCTTAAGAATGGATTTTCTTTTAAAAGCAATGAAAATGAACGTTCTATGCTTATAGAAAAATACCAGATTTCTGCATGGAGGCACAAGTATTTGAGAGAAATAAATATAAAACGAAACGAAGGAAAGCAAATTGTGTACCTTGATGAAACTTATGTACATCAGAATTATAAAGTTAAAAAGTCTTGGCAAGGACCTTCAACAACTGGTGTCACTACAAAGATATCCTCTGGAAAACGGCATATTGTTGTGCATGCTGGATCTGAGGAAGGTTTTGTGCCTGGTGCATTATTAGTGTTCAGTAGTAAATCCAAATCTGCTGATTATCATGATGATATGAACTCATCGAACTTTATGAAATGGGTCAGAGAAAAATTAATACCAAATTTAAGTAAGCCCAGTGTAATTGTTATGGATAATGCCAGCTACCATATAAAACAAATCAATAAACCGCCTATAATGTCTAATACCAAAGCAGATATCCGTAAATGGCTTGTAAATAATGGAATACATTTTGAGGAATATCAGACAAAGGCAGAGTTAATGTGTTTGGTTAATGATAAGAAAACATTGCCTGTATATGAAACTGAAGAGATTTTAAAAGAACATAATCATGAACTTTTATTGCTGCCACCGTATCATTGTGACTTAAACCCAATAGAGATGGTTTGGAGTCAAGCAAAAAGAAAAATTGCAAGCAGAAACATTGGAATACCAGGAAAGGAAATGGAAAACTTAATAATAGAGTGTTTTAACTTAATTACCCCTAGTGACTGGAAGAAATACACTGATCATGTTTTAAATGTCGAAAATGATTACAAATTAAAAGATGGCATTGTTGAAAACGAACTTGAAAAATTTATTATATCTGTTGGTGCAGACAGTAGTGAAGAGAGTGACTCTGATGATTCCTTGTCATTGTTATCAGGTGTAGAATATTTAGAAACAGATTTTGACTATGAATCAGACTAAAGTATTTTTAGTCTGATTCATAGTCAAAATCTTATCTTAAATTTTCTATTGTGATTAACATGATGATTTTGTGACACCTGTATTATGTAATTTATCCATGGCACTTAATTGTAACAAAAATAAATGTTTTTTTTATTGTAATCTGGTGTTTATATTGACTAATTTAATTTGATAGATAGTGGTTCTGGATCAGAGCAAAAGGTTGTGATGAAAATCCCTTAGGAGACATGTATGTGTTATGAACACATTATAAATATAAGGGCCAGAAATCAAAATTGGCTAACATCACATTTATTAAAAAAATGTGGCCAGAGTCGCCCATATTCATTACAAAAAAACAAAGAAGTCGTTGCAAAAAACACCCTTTTAATTAATGACAAATATGAATTTTTAATATTATAAGTGCTGTTAGCCAATAGGTATAACGAATGGGTTAAAAAAAGATTCGATTTAGTCCGTCAGTCAGATAATAGAAAAATATTGGATACGTATTTTTTTTCGCTTTAATTTAACAACAAATGGCTTAAGAGGTACTATGCGACGACTTCAAATATGCTTTGCAACAATGTTACTTTAATACAGTTTATCGATACGAAATCAAGTGTCAAAATGGAGTCCAGTGGAGAATGCCGATATTGACATTTCGAAATTGCTCATCATTGATAGAGAATACGAAATAGTGATTTTGACACAATCAAAGTGTCTATTTTTTACGGTGATGACGATTCTTGGTTGTCAGTTGAGTTAGTGAATAGGCCTACTGATATGCTGTTAACTGTACAATTAAGAACAGTCACGCTTTAGTCAAATGTTCCAAAACAAATAATTTTAATTGATATCTAAATGTTAAGATTAAATATAATTAATAAAAGTATCAAAATTATTTTGCAGTACTACATTCAGTGTTTACTGCTTAAGAATTTTTGAAATTGCCGCCCTTTTCTTGTGACACGTTTCGCTTGCCAGACTCTATACATGAAAGCAAACCGGAAGGGTTGTCATGGAGAAATCAAGAGAGTAGCATAGCGACATCTAGTTTGATTTCAGGAACTAATGTTTTTTTTAAACTTCTTAATTTTTCTGATTAATTAAAACAATATAATTAATTATAACAAATAAACAATTATTATGTAATCAATGAAACCAAATCGATTGAATCATCGGTACCTAGGGATGGAACGATATGGAGTAATAACTATAAACAGTATCAAATCTGTTCTAAAAATCTATAAAAATGTTGACTATGGTGAAGTATTTTAAAACTATTATCAATACTTTTAATTCGATACGGTGTCGAGTAAAAGTATCGATACCTAGGTGGGAATTAGGCAGAAAATCTTAGATAAGGCGGGCGTAATTTTTTACTATAATTTAAATTATTAACTATACTTAATAGGATCAGATTAGTGTTTGTTGTGATATTTTATTATGTATAAGTACGAGTATTTTATAATATTTATAATAAAGTTGCTGTAGTTAGGTAAGTTCTAAATTCTTTCTTATGAGCGTTCCTGAAGACCCAGGGGAGACGTTTCCTCAGATCTCTCAGTTTATGACTCTTCCATATGATTGTTCGGGAACGTATGGAAAATGAAGGTTCTTTTTTTGATGTATCAGATAATAATTTCACTTATAAACGTAAACGAAATTCTTCCCGTAAGATAAGTAAGCATTGCAATAAAAAGAGGAGGCATCATAAGGCAACCTCAGACCCTTTTTCTGAAAAAGACTATCACTGCGATGTTAATACAGCCGATTCATCGAAATTATTTAAAATGCCTGTAACAAAACCAGTTTCCATATCCCCAGTACCTCATGCTAATAACACTACTTCTAATAATGTGTTTAGAAATTTATTTTTTGTAGAAATTGTAGGATATTTTTTTGTGACAGAATTTATGGCTAGACTAGGTACTATCGCTACTGAACTTGCATATCGAGGGCGGACGTCGAGCCAGGTGTTATGTTAATTCGTACGGTGGGTATGTGCTTTTACGGTACTTACTATAATATTGACAATAATAGATTAACTTCCTACTCAGCCTACTCTAGAAATCAGTTATAGTGTAATCAAATATAGTTGAGCAAAGCGATATGCGCCAAACTCGTCAACGGGTACTGCTAGTGGGAGTGAGTCTGAACTGGACTACTTATTTCGTTCATTTTCTTTTATCATGAATATTGTATATTGATATGTCAATAAGTATGTATGACTTGGCAACCGGCATATTAATCAGTATTCGAAAAACATATGTCTTGTTATTTCTGATATTGTAATGGAAATAGACTTCATAATCTAATTAAGTCACATTCCAATAAAACTTCTATGTGTGAAACAAAACACAGAAAAAGCAGCCCTTGCTGAGTTTCTTGCTGGTTCTTCTCTGTACAAGATCACCCCCCGTAGTTTTGAGAACCATTAGCATAGTTTTCGACTTACATAATCGAGAAAGTACAGTAGCAATTTTTTGAAATACCTCCTCATTGTGACTTTAAAAGTTACACAATTCCATAAATCATTATCCGCTATGCGTTTGAAAATGACTGTAATAGATTTAAAAATTAGACAATTAGGGCACAGTTTTGTCCCTGGTGTGCGTGGGCTCTTATTGAAAATCATCGCATAACGACCTTAAAAGGCGTTAAAAATTGGTCGAACAGTGGGCAGTAGGTGGATGAAAATTAGATTTTTTAGACGAAATCGGTAATTTCACATTAAAATAAAACTGACTTTAAAAAACTATACCATTATTAAAAATCGACTATATTTGGAGTCACCACAGTTTTATAGGGGACAAGTTACTTGGCGGAACATTTATATTTTTATGCTCAAAGTTGGCAACTCCACTGATTGGACGAAGACATGCTTATGTACTTATCATTATTTTATTATCATAAATTTTTTGCTGAATCAAGCTGCAAAATTGAAGGCGATTGGATGCTTTAATACAATAAATATAAATTAGCGACAACTTGGCTCTACCTTGAGGTGGAAAAGCTCAAAACAAAGTAATCATTAAAACATTTCCTATGAGAGTGAGTGCAGCCCAGGGTCTCTCTTCAGCAGAGTTGCCACCTGTCCCGATTTCGAAGACATTGACCCGCGTCCCGACAGCCTATCGATTTTGTCCCGATTTTTGATAATGATGAGATGAGCTCGATAGCACAGGGCTTAGCGCGACCGGGCTGCGATACGGTTATTAAGAAACTATCGCAATGGCCGATCACAAGATGTGTGACCAAAAATTTATTATCACACAAAATGGGTCCATTTTCCCCAGTTATTAAACTGGTGATGATAATGAGGCATTTCTGTTGCCACTCTATCAACAAATACCAAAACAATAAAATAAATATCCAAGGGGGGTCCCATACAACAAACATGTATTTTTTTGCGTTTTGTAAGTACGATAAGTACAACTCGCATTTGGGTGGTTTTTCTTTAAGGTTGACGCTAAAAATGTGATGCATGTTGCTCTTTATAAATAATGACTCAACGTGTTAATTCTTTTTTATAACTTTAATATACCATTCAGGTAAAATAGGCTCAATTTCACTGTCACATTCAGAAACAGCAATTCCGTTATTACTGCCATATAAATCAAAAATCAATGATGTCACTTCATCAGGCTTCCTTTTGTTGAATTGGGACTTTACAAAGGACAAAAAGTAGTCTAAAAATTTAAGACTTTTTTCGGGATTCCACTCATTCTGGAACAAAAAAATTATGATATACATAGTTGCTTCACAAATTATGAACAGCTAAAAAATATATTATTAAATAAAGGTTTTATAGTTCATTACAAGAAACATTTTTACACACAGCAGCACATCAGCAGGTGGTATTTTTTGCAAGTCAAACATTTTTTTATATCATTTCTATTTATTAGTTTATTTTAACGGATGTTTCAATTATTCATGTAAAAAAAATTGGCATGCATTCAGTTACAATGTTTTATTACAATTTGTGTTATTATACAATTATGAACACATATTAAACTTTATGGTTGCTGTGTTCAAAAATTAAAATTGCTTGGTATACAATTAAAATTATTATTAAGGCTTAAAATCGATTGTACAAAGGTAAAGCTAATATTATAGATATAGCCCTAGAACTTGCTTTCTTTATTTAACTCCTACTTAGGTAGTGTAATTAAAATATCACTTTAAGCATAATAATTACTATTAAATTTAATCATGTGTCTGTTAACAAATAAAGGACACAGTGTAGATGAAATTCACCAAGACAGCCCAATGGTTGAACCTGAGAAGTTTGAAGATTCAGTTGCTGTCTAATAAAAATGTTTCAACACTATAATAATAATAATAATAACACTTTATTGCCAACACCATAGATGTCTCCGCAAACTTATCAAATTAAACAATACATCAAAGTGTAACAAATGGCAGTCTAATCGCTAAAAGCAAAATTGCTTTAAAAAAAATTATAGATATAGGTAGATTTCTACCAGACACTATCTACATTTTCTGAAATTTTTCTATCCTTACCCTGCAATATTTGGGAATGTCTTCAGTTTTAAAGTAATTTAATTTTGTAACAATGCCATTGTCATCTCGATATCCTACTAATAAACCATTTAAATTTGCCAAGTAACACTGACACCAACATCTTAACATTTTGTATTTTCTGGAATAAATTTGTTCATTATTACAGACAATAAGTATTACATATGTCTTTGAACAGTATATATATTTATTTTAAAGCAATTTTTATGCTTATTATATTCAAAGTAAGTACATACTTAAAATTGTGTTCTTGTCGCGGATTTTCTAACAGTCTGTTTGTTTTTAATTCAACATAGGAATTTTGTTTAAGATAATTCAAATTCATCTGAAAATCAGTTGTGTTTGGTGGATGTACTGTACCATTGGTGACAAGTAAGCCATCTATTTGTGCACCATATAATAATTTGTGGTCACCTAAACAAGCTTTATAGAATAATGAAAACTCTTCATTTTCTATAACTGGTTTCTCAATATTCTGATGTATACCAGGCAGATCTGAAAGATTATTTAATTTTTTAAATGAAAATTAATATTATTAAATAATTTTGAACTGATTTAATTTTTCAATGAGACCATGTCATTACTAAACTTGACTTATTAGACTTGAATATTATGTAAACAGATGTTTAGTAGTGTTTGTCTTTATTAAAAATGTATATCTAATATTCAAGTATGTTTACTTCTCCTTATTTTAAAGACTTTCGATTAAATAATAGAAGCTTAATACTTAAGTATGTTATTCAATTCTGCAAATATTTTTATTTTTATGCAATGCAGGCAGATTTTGTTGTGATTTAGCACATAAAATTCTTGAATCATAAATTAGATTGTGTCAAGATTTTGTTGTACTATTTTTTACAAGGTCCTTAAGGAAAATATATAGCAGTTAAATAATTCAATATTAATTTTCAAACAGAATGTCAAATTGAATGGATTACATTCACAATTGAATTTCACATGTATTTTAAGGAGTAATTGTAAAGTTAACTAGAAGTAGTTACCGCTTAGCAGGTATTGTTCAAATTTATAACCCCATGCACAAAACCGACCATTAAGAGACAATCTGTTATGCATTTCGGTGGGTGTTTCAAGAGAGCACAAGTAAATGGAGTTATTGAATAAACTAGCCATAATTTTAACATGTGTATTGTTAAAAGCATTGCACATCACACTAATTAAAGTTCGTCTGTATGTTATAAATCTCCAGCCAATTTCATCCTGTGTTACATAATGAATATTATTTTTTAGGAACTTTAATAGAAGCGTTATTTTTTCGCCGTTGTCATCAGTAGTTCTTTTGACAGCTTTCTCTATACCGTGGTTCAGATCCAAGTGGATTTTTCCTCTTGGAACATAATCAAGATATTTTAATTGAGACAAATTAGAGTGGTATTCTCGAGAGACATCAACACTCATGTAACCTATGATTTCCGGTCGAGTAAGAGAATGTGTATTTTTTTCAATTGATGCATTCATAGCAAAGTTATTATATTTTCATAATAAAACAACTACTCATCGTGTCACCAATTTTATTTTAAAATGCAGGCACACAACAAACACCACAAAAAATAAAAATTTTGTTTGTTCAAATATTGTAATCTTTGATTAGACTGGTTTTTTGACAGCAACATAGGGTTAGGGATGCTACGACAATTCGAATAATCGAATTTGAATTATAATTAGAGATTTAATGTATAAATATCAGTTGTCCAAATCTTAAAATCCAACGGCATTTTCTTATCATCACATGTGTGATATTATTTTGTAACCCTGACTTCTATTACCGAAATATTTTAGTTTTAAGGCACTGTAACCGTAAGTCATACGTGTTGGATTTTTTTATATTATATTTAATTTTATCGAACACTCAATAGTTGCTCAAAATTAAAAATTATATAAATAAAGACATATGTATTCCGATGGCGCTAATAAGTCATAGAATAATAATAATTTACTGCAACAAAACAAATTATTATTATTATTGCCGTAATTTACAAGTTCATTTCTGATGCCGATGAAAGCGAACCGTCATCTAGTGACTAAAAAAATTAAAAACATATTTAGTCACTTCATTGCCAAGGCTTCACTGATGAAGCTTCGAAAGTAAAAAATATCGGCTTAGCGCAAATCGGACTCGCGCACGAAGTGTTATTCAGAAAGTTTTAATTGTCTAACTATCACGATCCATAAAATACAGCCTGGTGAAAAACGGACGGACGGGAAGCACCCCGCTTTCTGTCCGTCCAAAACCCTAAAAATTAAGCATCTAATATCGTTTTTACTTAGATAGTGATCACTCTACGTCTAGTCTACCGTTATAGGTTTTTCTATACTCTGTTTTAACAAATCCCTTTTTTAATAAAAGCATTCACTGCTTATGAATGATGAGTAGTAAAAGTATTTTTGTATTTAGTCGTGAAATGTAAAATTGAGCGAGTAAAGTGAGCATTTATCTTAATTCATAGATATATAATTTGATTGAAGAATTAAATTTGCTCAAAATGAAAAATCAAAAACAACAACAATTTAAATTTATACAAATATATCTTGTCTTGCATCATCTTGCATTGATACTGGTTGTGCTCGTTGGGATTTCATTTCAAAATTCACGTATCTAGGCAAGTGGGGGCATTTTATAGTTTATTAAGAAAAACTGAGTTTAATTTACTTTTAAACATGAAAGAACACCGGAAGGGTTGTCATGGAGAAATTAAGAAAGTACCGTAGCGACATCTAGTTTTATTTCAGGAACTAATGTCTTTTTTTAAATACTCCCTCAACTTTTTTACTTTGCTCTTTGCTTTTATTTTATGTATTGTCCAAAGATTACAATATTATATTGGTATTGTCAAATGTCAACTGGTCGAGGCGTTTAGTTAGCTTAAACGATAATTCGTTTTATTTAAATTGTAATATATTCAGCTTCTACATTAATCTTTAATTTAATCAGGTGAATAATCTTAAAGTGGTATTTTCATTTGGTAGTGGTATTTTCAGACCCAAAGGTATGGACTATTTGTTTTATATTTGTTATTTTTGTATACGATTTTCATGATAGAATTTTCATTTTTATGATCACTTTTCAGATGAATTCGGAACAAACTGCTACACCACCATCAGTTTCATGGGCACAAAGAAATTCTTGCGTGCTTTTGACATTTAACGTTGAATGTGAAAAACCCGAAATTAAATTTGACAGTCGAAAAGTTTATTTCAAAGGTATATGTTCCCCAGATCAGAAGTTACACGAAATCGAAATACCTCTTTATGCCGAAATAGATCCAGAAAAAAGTAAATATCTTAACAAAGGTCGTTTTATTGACGTAGCTCTTGTAAAATTGAAGACTGATGATCCATTCTGGCCCACTCTCACTGGTGACAAGAAAAAGCATCATTGGCTCAAAGTGGACTTTGAGCGTTGGCAAGATGAGGATGAAAGTGGGGATGATTATGACATGAATGACATGTTTTCAGACAAAATACGGGACTTTGATGATGAGAATGAAAAGGATGAATCTAGCTCAGAGGGAGAAGATTTTTTACCTGATACACAATAAACATTAATGTTAATATACATATATAAACAAAGTGTTTAGACATTTAACATGTGCTTTTATACAAGAAAAAATTGTGTTAGCATTAAATTATACTTAAAAGTTTCAACCTTAACCTTAAAATTATGGTAAATTTTATAATACTATAACTTAAAAATGTTACCAATGTGACATTTTATCATGTAAGTCATTCCTCAGTTTAATCATTTAAAAAATTTAATTCATTATACATAATAAGCAAGAATGTTGTCATCAGTATTGTAAGACTATATTCTATTATTTTTTTTCTTATTTGGTTCACTTTATTTGCAGAAACGCTTACCTAAAATAATTAAGATAGGATTGATATTAAGTAAAATATATTTGAATGTTTAGCCAACCAATATTTAGTATGTATAATGAAATATCTTTAATAAATATACTTGTAATGGATAATTATTGAAGATATTAAGTGTACATAAATGCTACATTTATGTTTACCTAAACAAGCTAATTCACTTCATGGTTTGAGAAAGTGGCAGTATTTTCTCGTTTTTCCACAGATGCTTATCAATAGAACAAATTTGAATGGTTTTTATATGTATGTATAATTTGAGAAATTATAAGTAATTTACAAAAATTATATGTGTGAAAACCATTCAAAACTTGTTTTATTTAGGTGACACTGTTTTTGTGATAAGCAATAAAGATAAACAACGTTTTTATAGTATAAAATTGTTTGATACAATCCCTCATACTAAAATCTGCAAGTGTTTTTATACATTATAATGATTTAAACTGCACAAAAATATTGGCTTTTTATTTGTAACTCAATCATATTTTTTACATTTACTATGTTGTGCACCATGTTTGTGGAGTATTGCTACTTATGTTAGTTATATTTTTAAATAAGAAAGTGTTATGGTTATATTCTATTTTTTCTGAATTCTATCAGCAGGTAGCAAACTTTCCTGATAATAAAATCATAACAAACACACGCTCACATCAAAAATCGAATTTTGGCAGGTGTGATGAGTTTCATTTTGAACCATAATTATCCTGATTTTAGATTTATATCACCCAAAAGTTGACTGGCAGACTATTGCCAAGGCATTAAGTCCGCCTAAGTACAGTTGTGCATTTTTCATGCAACAGAGGAGGCCTACTTCGTGGTACCCTAGAGTGGTAAATACTTGCAGGATGTGGAAAGTTTCAATGTTTGATGATTGAATTCATGCTAAAATAACACATTATTTTAAAAGAATGATCTAAAGAAGCTATACTGGTGTCTGTCTAGCAGTGGCGGACTAACCCTGTCGGGGGCCCGGAGCGGCATTAGGTCCCCGTACCTACAACGTAAGTTAAGATGACTGGCAAAATTTGTAGTCTATTGGTCGTTCTCCATTTCTAAAGTTAGCACTCCTGTAAAATTTGACAGTTTTGCAAATAGCGGATGTTTATGTGTTTCGTGTTGCAGAAAAATATTTTTTTAATGTTTTTACTTTGATTAAATAATTGGTTAGTAAACTTATTTTGGATATATATCACTTTTAAATAAACCGTTATCTATGTTTTTAAAAATCTGTTTTATAGAAAAGTGTTAATATTGGTAGATTTTTGTACAATCTTTTTTTATAACCTCAACATACCTAGAGTACACATGGTACATTTTCTTATGGGAGATATGATCCCACCGGACCAATGTCTCCTAATATTTTTTTAAAATAATTTTAGGATTAAATATGTCTAGAGTATATAAAACAAGAGAAGGTGCAAGAAAAATAATATCGATCGATAAGAAAATTTTGGAGTTGACTGTTAATGATGTTATAGGGGGGGTAAGAGTATTCGTGGTACACTGTAATGATATGTTAGAAAGAAGAAAAATGTTACGACCTCAGACCTGAGGTTACGACTGAAAATATTGACTAAACTCCAAATTTTTTCGTCAATTGAAGAGACAGAATTTGTGAGTTACGAGGGTCAAACTGAAAGTTCTTAGAAAATCAAAAACTGATTACATTAGCCAGTTATTAGTTTTATTATATCTTTTCAAAATATTGTCCATTCACGTCAATACACCGCTGCATGCGATGGAACCACTGGGAAAAGCACTTTGCCCACTCGTCCTTAGGGGTCTCTTCAATGGCATCGCGATACGCAGCCACCGCTTCTTCAGCATTCATAAACCGCTTTCCTTTAAGTTTTTCTTTAATTTTTGGAAATAAATAAAAATCACAAGGCGCGAGGTCGGGGCTATACGGCGGGTGACCCAGTAATTCAACGTTTGATGTCGCCAAATAGTCGATCGTTCGCTTGGCGGTGTGCGACGAGGCGTTGTCGTGGTGAAGGAGGATCCTACTGCGAGGTCGTTTCTCTCGAACTTTTTCCAAGACAAGTGGCAAACAATTGGTAGTGTACCATTCTGCAGAAACTGTTTTTTGATCCTCTAACACAATTGTTGCAAAATGACCTATCCTTCCAAAGAACGAGGCCACCATTTTTTTTCCCGCACTTCGATCTCTCTTCACTTTAGTTGGCAACTCCTCGAAAGGAAACACCCACTGAGCAGATTGTCTTTTGGTTTTAGGATCATAACAGTAAATCCAGCTTTCGTCACCTGTTAGTATGTCGAACACAGCATATGAGTCACCTCCGTTAAATCTTTCAATCATTTTACGACACCAATCCACACGATGGAGTTTTTGAGCCTAAGTCAAATTATGAGGTATCCACCGGGCGCAAAGCTTCCTGACCGCTAAATGTTCGTGGAGGATTTTGTGCACTTGACTCATACCGATGCCTAAGCTTGTCCGAATCTGTTGATAGGTCACTCTTTTGTCAGTCTCTATCATACGCCGCACAACACAGATGTTATCTTCAGTCGTCGCCGTAGAAGGCCGTCCCTCACGTAAATCATCAGTGAGATTAGTGCGACCACGTTTAAACTCATTAAACCAGTTGTAAACAGTCGCACGAGATGGGGCTTCATCGTGAAAGGCCAATCGTAGTCTATCATAACTTTCTTGTTGACTTAAATGACATCGAAAGTCATAAAAAATCATTGCACGAAAATTTTCTCGTGTTAAATTCATGATGACGTGACACAGACAATTTTCAATTTGCCGCCAAATCGTAAAACAAATGACAAATGAATGAAATATATACTCAGTAATATTGGCAAAGAGTTATATTTTCAAATTTTAGAATTATTTTTTTATTATATTGTTTATAAGTGGCCAGTTCTAAGAACTTTCAGTTTGACCCTCGTATTTAATAATGGCCAGAAAATTATTCCACGGATTAACTCCTAAGAATGTACGAGACCTCGCATTTCAATATGCTATTAAAAAAATACTAGAAAATAGTAAAAAAAAAAACACCAAAATGGGCTGAACAGGAAACAGCAACTTATGATTGGTTCTACGGTTTTATGAATCGTCACAAAGAGTTATCATTACGTGCACCCGAAGCCACTAGCTTGTCTCGCGCTACAGCTTTTAACGACACAACGTTAAAAATTTCTTTGAAAATTTGAAAAGCTTATTGCAGCGATATAAATTAGGTCCGGACTAACTTTGGAACGTAGACAAATTTTTACTGTCAAAGAAAAGTCCAACTAATAAAACAATAAAATGTACGCTAAAAGACGCAAGGATGTCCCAGCTTCTGCACGGAATGTCTCGCGCACTCATCATCCGGCTAGTGTGATGGTATGGTGGGGAGTTTTGTATAAATTGTATCCACCTTCCACCATTTACTACTAAGCAAATAAATTAATGATATTTAAATAAAAATAATAAAATCTTAACATATTTTTTCATTTTCTACTGTATTGGTATCATATGACCCTATATGTGGGAGACTTGTTCCTCCCTGGATCAAGTGTTCCACATAGTGGGGATCAAGTCAGACATATATATGGGACACTTGATATCATTTTTTATACGAAGTTTTCGTGGGCTAGTTACATAGGGTATGTTCCAATATACACTGCGACCACTGAACAGTATGACGTCAATTTCGTATACTGGAAGCCCGTTCCTTTATAGCTAGTTATACTGGTGACTTTTTAAAACGCAACGCAGTCCAGTATACTGTTAATCCTATTTTTTGGGCGCCATTTTCAAATTTGTTAATGCAAGGTGAATATAAATATAAAGATTCCCTCTTTTCAAAAGAAAATTGGAAAATTGTATAAAAAAATTATTTATCAATTAAATCCATGTTATAAATAAATGTAAGTATTTTTTTTGTTTATTTAGAAACTTATCATTTTCTGATTCTGTTTCGACTGATCACGTGATCAAAAGCACTGCGAGCACCTTACCTCGAAATCTCCAGTGCTCACAGTACAAATATGGCGGCAATTTATGACGTCATAAATTTCCCTAGGGTACTGTAGCAGTGTACTGGCAGTCCATAACGGAACGGATTTTTCAGCAGTAAGACCACTGCGCAGTGCTCGCAGTGTATATCGGAACATACCCTTAATTTTTATACCGATATCATTAGCACAAATTGTTCACACATTATTGCCATAAAGCAAAAAAAACTGTAGTCTTTGTAGGGCTCTGTCTACGTTGTAGAGATTTCGATATTAGAAAAACATCGTTGTCATCATCGCAAGCCGAACATTGATGTCGATATTAATTGAAAACTAAACATCCATGATTTTTTACAATAATTGACAAAGAAATAAAATACAGTGAAATCTTTCAAAATTTATTCAAATCTAATTTTGAAAAAAAAAAACATAATAATTCGGTTTATTTTCTATCAAAAACTACGTTTTTGATTAATTAAAATTGATATTACGAATAATATTATCAAATAATGCATTGGTCTTGCGTGAGGCCCCGAGTTAACATTGATGATTGATTTTGTTAACATCGATGTTACGTTATTTTTCATATAGCAACATCGATGTTAGGACATCGATTTTTTGCTTTCAACATCGTTGATTATCAAAAATCGATGTTGATCGATCCCTATTTTGTAATAAGATATAAAAAAGAGTTTAGTTAGAATCTCTTTCACGAAAGAAGTCCCACGGCATAACTCTTATTCTTTTTAAATAAAAGCGAAAACATTGTGATCCGAGGGGCTTCTTTCGTGAGATGAACTTTAGTTAGTTTAGCATAAGTCATCACTCACACATGCGAAACTACCCGACAACGAAAAAAATAATCAACTAGAACCTTTACACCTTCAATGCAAAGCAGAAACAGCAAGCACTTAGTATCGTAATGTTCTCATGGGCAGCATATTTATTTTTGTTCTCAAAAATAACCTATTAAATCGTAACAGCTATTGAAGTACGTCATCGGTTAAATAACTTCAAAAGTACAAGTTTACTGGGCAAAGAAATAATAAGCCAAATAATTAATGAGCATAAAGTAACTTATATGGTACCGAAGAGCGAAATTTATTTTTAACTTCCTTAGAAAGTGCAAGCAATGAAAAAACTATTTGTTTGGTTACTCCCGTATCGAGTGCAACCGGTGTCTAGCTAGTACATCGAGAGCACGTTTAGATGGCCCTAAGAATATATTGATATTTTATTCATGAATTCATGACTAGAAATCATAGATGACAAAAAAACGATGTTTTCCAGGTGAAAACATCGTTTTTTTCAATGAATATCCACTAATGATGTGATTTCCGATTTGATTATAATACATATCGAATTGATTATTTATTACTTGCAATCGATTAATAAATGATTCATGTAAATGATTAATAAATATTTCACTCCAAAAGTTTATTAATGAATTCACATTAATTCCACCGTATTTTAAAGCTATCCAAGTTAATAAAAATAGTTAAAAATCAATTTTAAGACAATGTTTACCTTACCAGCATGGTGCATGCAAAATTTATAGAATTAAACTAGATGTACCTGCGATTCCGTCCGCGTGGAAAGTAGCCTTAGTAATTCCTTATTACATAAGCTATCTGCCAGTGAAAGCCCTGTTATAATTTGTCTGACCGTTTCAGAGTTTAACCGGAACAAACAGCCAGAAAAAAAATATTATTTTGGTATAGGTATGTACCGTGTATACTTATATGTGCATTGAGTAAGAAACGGTTAATTTGTATTTGTTAAAATAAAACTGTAAGATCCGTTCATTCATTCATCGGAAGTTTCCCGACCAAAGATAAAGTTACCTATTTGTTCGTGGGAGTATTCCAGAGTGCCATAATAAGTAATAAAATATCTACTAATAATATTCACACTCGCGATCCGCTATGGGTTGCTGAGTTAACGAAGTATAGAAAGTAGGTACTATACTAAAGTTTTCATCTATTCATATTGTTAACGTTTTAAGTAATAATCGATGGTTAATCGTACATTAGGAAATCATAATCGATAGCAACTGATTGAATGGAATATATTTGAAAAAATGATAAATCGATTAATAGTAATCGATTGCGCATACCAATAATATCGACTTTAGGTAAGTCGATTCAGTTGAAAAAAAATCTATTTCTGATTTGATTTGAATCAAACATACTAGATTCGATTATCGATTAATCGAGCATTAAAAGATTGATTTTCGATTAATCGCGAATTTTTCGATCAAACATGCCTTACACAGAGCATTATTGATGATAATTTACCGTTATTACAAGTAATGTAGGAGACCGATTAGGCAGTCTATTATAATAGACGGCGATGTATGGATTCCACGGGCTGGAGTAACATTGACAGTAGTGACAACTATACTATATTGACATTCGAATGCGTTTATAACTATTTATTTTATGCGTTCAAAATATTAATGCGTCCGACAACAGCAAAATATTTAAAAATCTGACAGATCGATTATTTTCACTAATTAATCGATTTTTTCCGATTTCAGATCGACATGCCTAATCGACTGTCCTAAATCTTTGCCACAGATTAAGAATATGTATAGCTAGCATCTTTGCGTGAAATTATTTGATGGTTTGCTGTTGGGTGCGTGTTTTTATTATAAAGAAGTACATATGTTTTTTATTATATATAAGGTGTAGCTTTTTTGGGTACACAAAAATATAATCTAAAACGGTATATATAAGTTGTCAAATCACACGTTTCTGCGGCTGGGAAATGGGTAAGGTTAAGAAGTTGAAACCTTCCCAAGTTGGAAGAAACGTAGCTCTTGCAGATCAAATAGAAAGAGATGCCGTGGCTTCGATAAAAAACAGGAATAGAACAAAGGAGCGAACTATACGTGAAGACGATGAAGAGGTAAGCCAAGAAATACTAATGAAAACCTGATCAGTCATATACTTGCCATACCACAGCGGCTTTGAGCTGTCTGAATTCGATCATAACCAGTTATTAATTTACTTAATAGAGTTAAAGTCAAAAGTTTATTTGCAAATTTGGTGTTTGGTGCTTATCAGTTAAAATTATAGACATCCAGCAATCTATGTAAACAGTTTTAGAAGTATTTAACTGCGTTTTTTAGAATCGAAAAGCTTTAATTTAATAATAAATAAAAGACAGGAGAGAGTCGCCGATTCTTAATTTTTCTTATATAAAAATGTCAAAAATTAATTAAAAATTGTCATATCATATATATGGAAGCGATGACAATAGATTATTAATGCATAACAATAATTACAAATGTTTATTTCTCTTCAGTTTATTAATGCAGATCTGTCAAAGAAAATTCTCAAAGCTGCCAGAAGACAGAGAGTTGAATTTGATGATAATACAGAAACATCACCCTCGAAGCATTTGCAATTACCTACATCTTTAAATGGTATGTATGTAATGTATGGTGATGAAGAATAACAGTATAATATTACATTTCTAATATATATTTCCCATATACTGCCAATTAGAGAAAATATACCTATGCATGATATTAATATTTCAACTACTTTTGATATTATATTTACACAGTCTGTACTCTGAGATCTTAACTATACACTGGATTTCAATGCATTTCAATCAATTTGTACAATATAAAGTGATTCAAGAGGAAGTATAAAATACAGGACATGAAGGTGCTGGTGAAAAGTATTATAGCTAGTATTATATAACATTATTTTTATAAATATTCATATTGTGTATAAACTTTTACAAAAATTATCAATATCTATGATTTGGCACTTTGTCATGCAGAAAATATTAATGAGTACATTAGTGTCTATTATATGTAAATATAAATACATAATGTTGTGAGAGTATTTTAATAATAACCACCAGCGGCTTCACCCGTGTGGTCTTGTTTTATACATAAAAACCTTCCTTTTGAATCACCCTATCTATGAAAAAAAAAATGAATCAAAATCTGTTGTTTAATTTTAAAGATTTAAGCATACATAGGGATATAGGGATAGAGAAAGTGACTTTGTTTTATACTATGTAGTGATGAATGATAATATTAATTTTCCTATAAATTTTGCATTGGAGTTTTTTATAGTATAGTTAATGATAATTTTTATTTGCAGAAGTTGATTCTGATGAGAACTCTGCTTCAGACAATGATGACTTGGAACCTGATAATTATTATGATAACCTTGATATAAATGCAGAGGACGAAGACGCATTGAAATTGTTCATGTCCACTAAACCAGAAAGAACTCGTACTTTAGCAGACATCATAAGGGATAAGATAACAGATAAACAAACTGAACTCCAAACGCAGTTTTCAGATGCTGAAACCTTAAAATTACAAAATGTTGATCCTAGGTATGCTTAAGAGTGAAACAAATGACATGAAATTATAAACTTGAAATAATGTTTTTTTTATTATTTTAGGATTAAAGTAATGTATGAAGGTGTTAGAGATGTATTACAAAAATATCGTTCAGGAAAATTGCCTAAGGCATTTAAAATGATTCCACATCTTCAAAATTGGGAGCAAATATTGTATCTTACAGAACCAACAACTTGGTCTGCAGCAGCTATGTATCAGGTAATAATAGCCAAAATTTGTAGATATTAAAATTATCTTTTGAAACATGAATATACCTACTAATTGATTTTCTTGTAAAGAAACTCCGATTGCACATCATAGACACATTGTAGACAAGTATGTACCAACATCTAGTTTGATTTCAACAACTTCATAAATAAAAACTGTTGTAAACCAAATAAATCTTTTTACTATCTACAGGATGTTAGGTTTTACAATAATGACAAATTTCTCCCATTGTTTTTAAACAATTTCTCAATTTCTCAATGACAATTTCTCACAGAGAATTAAAACAAAATCAATTGAGCAAATGTTACCTAAATTATGGTGGTCTGATTTGCAACTTGGATGAATTAACTTTGTATTTGGCTAGAATGTTTGTGCAAAATATCGCGTGTATGTAAATTGTCATTTCAAACCTCTAATGATATATTTTATAAAAAAAGCTATCACACGGGTGAAGTCGCTGCCGGAAAACTAAATATATTCTATCTTAACAACTACTCAGTACTTGACAAGACATCCAGACATAACAAAAATTCCTTTAAATTATACATTTTTACAGGCTACTAGGATATTTGCATCAAACCTCAAAGAGAAAATGGCTCAGAGATTTTATAATTTGGTTCTTCTACCTCGTATTCGTGATGATTTGGCAGAATACAAAAGGCTAAATTTTCATTTGTATCAATCTCTTAGAAAAGCTCTATTCAAACCTGGTGCTTTCATGAAAGGAATTTTGCTTCCACTACTGGAGGTAAGTTGATAGGTAAGATAATTTGAATTATTTAAGAGTTCTGATATTACAATATAGTTACCTTCTTCACAGGAATATTAACAGACCTGTAAAGAATATAAGTTAGATAATATTTAAATTATCAAGATGCTGGTAATCTCCTTAAATCTGTTAGTGTTTAACATTTTTACTGTTGATTTAATTCTCATAGAACTCACAACTAGTGTTTGAAATCTGAAAGAACTTGTAACTGAGCTTACTGGGCTGAGTAAGAGACCTAATCAACCTCCTAAAAATACTGTTTTGAAAATAATTATTGTTGTTTTATTATTTTGAGTTGAAAATAATTCTAGCTTTTATTAGCTCTAAATCTAAAATGTCTCATATCAAATAATTGCTCAAATATAATATATGAGACATTTTAGATCTCCTATTCCAGTCTGCGTAATTTTTATAAAAAAGTTTGCATTATTGAATGAAGATCTGTATATTGTATTTATTGAAATCTTTCAGGCTGGAGATTGCACATTGCGTGAAGCTATTATTGTTGGATCAGTTCTCGCTAGAAATTCAGTGCCTGTATTGCACTCCAGTGCCGCGATGTTAAAGATTGCCGAGATGGACTACACTGGAGCAAGTTCCATTTTCTTAAGAATTTTGTTTGATAAAAAATATGCACTGCCATATCGAGTAGTGGATTCTGTAGTGTTTCATTTCTTAAGGTATTTCCATATTTGAGCTATATTATTTTTGATAAAAATAAAACTATAATTTTTTTTTTGTAAATTATGGTTTTAGATTTCAAATGGACTCACGTAATTTACCAGTTTTATGGCATCAAGCACTTTTAACATTTGTTCAGCGTTATAAAGCTGACATTTCTACTGAGCAGAGGGATGCCTTGCTAGAGTTGCTTAGGAAGCAATCACATCCAAGTATCACTCCAGAAGTAAGTTATGATGTATATGTATGTATAATGTTTTAAAGATATATAAAATATTTCTACTTCTAATAATAATTTTTAATATTCTAGATACGAAGAGAATTACAAGCGGCCAAATGCAGGGATATTGAAGTTAATGAGTCATTAACTGCAGCTATGGTTGTGGAATAAATATTTTTATATAAATGTTTTATCTGTTTTATTAAATTTATTTATATTGACAGTTTGTTTATCATTAAAAGTAGTTCTTATGATATCATAATTATCTTAACTTTTTACAAAGAAATATGTATCTAAGAATATTTATTTTTCTGTTACTTTGTTGAACAGACACAATTCAACAGGTTTATCAACTTGACTGGTAATAAAGTGAACTGATGGCAGAACTGTAGATCCACATTCACATTTTCTACCCGATACAAAATCAAAGGAGCCGACTTTGAATCCACAGTTATAACAATGTAATTTGCCTTTGGTCCAATTTTCTTCTTCAATTTTAAATTTTATCCATTCTGGTATTTTATTATCGTCTAGGAAGATAAAATTATGCACATTATAGCTATTACATTTTTGAGGGCAATTGTTTACGCTGTAATCGAATCCATATAACAGCACATGTCGACATTTATGGCATTTGATTTCTTTCAATGGCTCCATATTTATAGCAATTGCCCGCATATAAGTGCAAAAACTATGCAAAGAGAAATTAAACACTACGTTATAAACTAAGTTCTATCACAGATTATAAGTGTATAGCACATTACAAACGATTTAATCACTTGCGACCTTAGATTATAAAGCTTGTGGCATTTTATTTAAATGTAGTTTGTGGCAAAGAAACTGATAATGCTTTCTTGTTTTCTATTCCCTTTATTCAATCGTGGTTCCCAACTACAATGCTACTCTTTGCAGTATTATATGTTATCTATTTGCAACGCTTCCGTGGTAAACAGAGTAGGTAGTGATTTTTTATAGGTTAGGTCAGTATTGCCAACCAACATTTTGAAAAAGTAGTAGGGTAAGGATGCCGAATATGAGATACCATTTTTATTTTTGGCTATAAAACATAAATTATTGCACTAATCATTATGAAAATTGCAATATTTGATAGGGTATTTAATGAAGTTTATTTATGAGAGACCGTTTAGTTCTGAGTATAATACATTTTTTATTATATCAAAAAATATTAAGAAGTTCAGAAATTACGTCTCAGGCAAATGGTCTCCTATTATGAGATACTGAGGGTTGCTAATATGAGACAGTATTTCATATTTGGTTCTTTAGGTTTTGAGTATAGATTTGGAGAAAAAGGAAAGAAATTAATTTGAATTAAACTTTTTATTGGCTATATTCTCTAATTAAGAACATCATACTCCTAAATAAATAGGTCTGAGTACGACTTACTATATGTATGTAACGAGTACATAGTTATAATTTAAATAAACTTATCATAATCAGTGATTTTCAAATGGCACTTATTAAACAGTATCAAAAACAAAAGTATTATGCTAAATCTTAGATATGATTTATGTCAGACTCATTATAATCACAGAGACTTTCAAATCATACTTATTAAACAATATTATTAATCAACAAAAGTCAAAACTTTTATTCTAAATCTGAGATATTTAAACACAAACACAAAAATCGATCTGGGGTTACTTCTCCACGATCCATGGTCCCAGGATTTCCTTTTGATCGGCCCCACCTAGTAAAAGGATTTTTCAAATAGTCATATATTTATATATCCTAAATACGAGATATCTCATTTTAGGAGCACTCGCATGTCTCATATTAGGAAAACATCTACATTCAACAAAATGGCTGCACATTATTTCTCAGTAAAGAAAATGTAATAAAACTGCATATGTATCATAAAATTCATGATATAATTGGTAGAATGACGGTAAATTAAAACCATTCAGTGTAATTAATACACTTGTAGTATACCTTGAAAATATTTGATGAGAAAAATTTGGTTTTGGGGTTTCGTGAGAACCCACGTGTACCCAACCCAACCTAACTTCGCCTTGGACTGGGAAGCACTAACACACGTTTTGATCTTTTGCCACGTGGCTTCTAGCGACAGTAGCGCCAAATGGCTGCGGCGATTAGTTTCGCCAAAACCTAACTATCTCATATTTGGCGACTATCTTATATTCGGCATCCTTACCCTATGTTTAGGCAACGAACGTTAAACCAACGTCAAACTAGGTGAAGGGGAGAACAAGTTGACGAAAATTTATAAAAAATATGTAAAAAAGTAATCCAGCACGCGAGTTATTTTGCCAAAACAAAGTAAAAATTTGTGTTTTAAATGAGGAAGTATTACAAAAAGCACTAAAAAAGCACTTCACTAGATGGCGGCTCTAGCAAAAATTGATTTTTGCAAGAAACTAGTGGACAAAAAATCATTTCCGTTCCTTTTAACTAACATTAAAAAACTGAAATTTGCAAAGTTCGATACAATAGAATATGAGTTGTTTATTGACTTTTGAAAATTAATTTACTTTTATACATGAAAGAAAAACCTTCCGGTTTTCTTACATTATAAAAGTCATAGAGAAATCAAGAAAGTACCATAACGGCATCTAAGAACAAATTTTTTTACTTAAATTGGAATGAAGATCGAGTCAACTAAGACAAACGTGTTAGTTGTAGTAGCTTCACTTTTGTGGTATGTATTGCTTAACTAGACATAATAATGTCATTGCAAAAAAAATGAAAATGGATACTTATGCCACGAAACGTTATTACCAATTCAAGATTAAGCGGATGCCGTTTTTTGAAGTGAATTCGCACACCAGAGTGAATGAGGAAGTATTTTAAAAAAATCATTAGTTTTTTTTTATGGGATAGGGGGCAGACGAGCAGACGGATCACCTGATGGTAAGTGATTACCGTCGCCCATGGACACCTGCAACACCAGAGGGGCTACAAGCGCGCTGCCGGCCTTGGAGGGAAGGGTTGAGGGGTAGAGGGAAGGGAAATAGGGAGGGGTTGGGCCTCCGGTACCCTCACTCACACGACGAAACACAACGCAATCGTTGCTTCACGTCGGTTTTCTGTGAGGTCGTGGTATCACTCCGGTAGAGCCGGCCCATTCATGCCGAAGCGTGGCTCTCCCACGTTCCCGAAATCAAACTAGATGTAGCTACGGTACGTTCTTGATTTCTCCATGACAACCCTTCCGGTTTTCTTTTATGTTTAAAAGTTAATTAATCTTCAAAACTCAATAAACAACTTATATTCTATTTGTACTTTTTCGTATTTGTATTGATGTCTAAGTTTTGAACTTTTCAAATTTCAGTTCTTTAATATGTTAGTTAAAAGGAACGGAAATGACTGTCTTTGGTCGATTCGTTTCCTGCAAAAATCAACATTTGCTAGAGTCGCCATCTAGTGGAGGTGTTTTTTAGTGCTTTCGTTTTTTTTGAATACTTCACATTCAAATTCTTCTTTTTCTTATTTTATTAATGGCTTATCTGCGCATTTCGCACAATTCTGACAATTTCAAGTAAATAAATTAATTTCTACATGTAAAATGAAAATTAAATGAATGAAAGATGGTGATGGATCCAAAGAGTATTATTATATGGATGGATCTCAAAAAACTACCCATTCAAATTTGGGTTTGAATTTTTACAGAATGGCAGGGCATATCAAACATTAAAGTCAAAGTGACAGTGACCATATAGGCATATAGCCATATAGGGTTGACCGTAATGAAATCGATAATTAGTGCAGCATAGTGCTCGATTTTTTATATAATCGATATAATTTGACGCTTCTATTTCTATTAATTATTAATCGATTCGAAGCGTCAAATTATATCAGATTACGTATGATTATGTTAGAGCTGAAAGTGCAAATTTTAGCAAATGCTTATATCGAATGGAAAAATAAGTATTGTCTGGAAGATGTATTTCATTTATAATTCAACTTTAATTTTCCGAAGTGTTCATAAGAACAGGTCGCATGTGCTTCATTGGTCTTAGTTAATAAATAATTAAAGCTTTAAACAATGGTCTTATTATCTCAGCGGTTTAACTGTATCACCGAAGCTCTGAATCTCAGAAAAAATTAAATGTCCTTATAATCTGCAGGCTGACAGTTTAACTCTCAGAAGACCACTCTAAGATTGGACAAATTGATCTATAGCTGGGTAATATAGGTTGGATTTTATTGATCTAAAATTGGACATAGGGCAGAAAACCCGTTTTTAACCATTGTAAAAATCTAACTTTAATAAATCAGTAAACAGAAACAACCAAAAACGTTTATTAAATATATAATTAATAATTTAAAAGGAATTACATAACAAAAATATAAAATTAAACAGTATGTATCAAAATCATCCATACTAATAATAAAGCTGAAGAGCTTGTTTAATTGTTTGATGAACCCTACAATCTCAGAAACTACTGGAACGAATTGAATTATTGTTTTTGTGTTTAATAGTCCACTTATTGAGGAAGGTTATGGGCTATATAACATTACGCTATGAGTTATAGGAGTAGAGCAGCAATGAAAAATATTATAAAAAACAGGAGAATGTTTTACTTTTTTAAAGCTTTACATGCGTTCGCTGCGTAAATGGTGAAAGTTACGCCAAAAATCATGTAAGTATGACTAAATTGATCCTTTTTAAAAGTTCTAAAAAAAGAAAATAGGAGTGGAAGTTCGTATACGGCATTAAATCGTTACTATAGTAACCGTTGTTTACAATTCAATTTGTCATTTTAATTATATTCCATATCATCTTTTTTCAAATCCATTTAATAATGTTTTGAATAATTTTAATCGGTACAATCTGTGGGTACAATCTTTGTCGCTTATATGAAATGCATATGTTATATTGGTTAAGTACACGAAAATGTTACACTTGGCTGTCTCTACTGAACACTAAGTGACGCTAATGTACTTGTAAAACGAGATTTTACTGTTTGAAGACTTTATTTTCCGATTTTTATCAAACAAAAGTAACTTTTGTTTTTTTTTTTGCGTTTTTTCCAATAACATTAATTTAAGTGTACTTTTGTGTAAAATAATATTTGTTAATAAACGTAGATATATTGGTACCTATGATAACTAGTAATTTCAGACAATATGTATTTTAAGTTTCCATTAATAATTATCATCCTATTTTCAATACTTGTTCATTATTCATTAGTCCAAAGTTAGCAACTATTGATTTTTTTGCCAAAACTAATCCCTTGTTTTTTGGTTAGTACGCAAATCTTTAAACTCCAATTTGTACCACTTCCAAATGTCCGATAGATTTGAAATTTTGTTAAGACATGTAAGTCAGATGACAATATTATATTATAGTGTCAGTAAGCTGATATGTTGATGAAGTAGGAAGGTCGTCATAGGAACTTAGTGATGAAATGACGCAACTGCATCGTGTTTGGGCTCGTTAGATTTGTCTTTAGAGAACAACAACATATATGGAGAGAAGTCATCATCATCATCAGCCTTTTTACGTCCCCACTGCAGGGGCTCAGGCCTTCCTTATGGATGGTTAAGGAGCATGGGCCATGACCCTCCACGCTGGCCCAATGCGGATTGGAGGGTATTAACGACTGCAAATGCAGCCGGAACCAAAGGCTTAACGAGCCTTCCGAAGAATGGAGTAGCTCGAGATATTAATTTTTGGTCACCCATCCCGTGACCAACCCTTGGGAAAGTTGCTTAACGACAACGATCGCGGGCCGCGGCGCTTATCCACTACTCCATCGAGCTACTCATAAATTTGCATTCACAAAGCTATACTGAAAAATATTCATAGTGAAAAA